ATTTATTCATGTAGCCTTCTCCTGAGACTGCATGATTTCGATGCTTCATTAAAGAAATAAATATTAACGCTAAAACGTGGAGCAGATGTCAGGCAATTGATGGTGGGAAAAGGTTCGTCTGTGACGCCCAGTCCTTCATGTGTGGAAGTGAGAGCAGCTATGAGTATCTGTCACAGTGCCTCGGCACCCCAAACATACTCTTTTTATGCACTTTCTGATTCTTAAAGTTATGTGTTGTTTGTCATATCAGAGTAGAAACACAAACAGGCATCCATATAGTTTGCAGCATGAGCTCTAAGCCACCCAGAAATGACTGAATTTCTCAACTCTTCAGTTTTCCTTCCGATCAAGGTTCTGAACAGAATCGCTTTCAGACTGAAGCCGACTTCAGAAGTTCAAAAACTAAACTCTGCTGCACCCTGCTGGAGAAGTACTTCCATTGCAATGTTATTGCAACTTAGACCTTGGCAACTAATGAGAGTGCAGGATATTAATATCCTGCAACACTGGCCACCTTCTCATCGTCCTCACAATGGATCTTCCGGGAAAAAAACAATAAACTCGATTCTTCACAATTACTTATCTAGCCAGTGCAGTGTCCCTGCGAGCCTAGAGTCCATTCGAGTGTAAAAGATAGGAGACACACCGGAATGCGCGACAGTCTATCACAGGGTATCACTCACTTTGGGCACGTTAGAGAAACAAATGACCGATACTGCATGTCTTTCAACATGTAATGCCTGTTCTAGAAATGTACAACATAATAACACGAAACTGTGTATCTCTTTTTAAGAACCACATATGTTGGTCATCCTTGATAATATCACCCTGTTTATTTAAGGTAGAGACGTCCACCCATGGTAGAGACATCCATCTAAATTCGCGAGCGGGCTGGAGCCTGTCCCGAAGGCAACGGGCACATTGTAAGGGACAACCAAGGGTGAGGCGTCAGTCCATCACAGATGGCAGCGATATGACTTATATATATATATAAAAAAAATCAAAATAATATTTAAAAAAAGACCCTCTGACGAATGTCTGGTCTGAAATATTATGTAGCGGTGTCGCCGCTGTCCCTGGTGGTCTAGTGGTTAGGATTCGGCGCTCTCACCGCCGCGGCCCGGGTTCGATTCCCGGTCAGGGAATTGTGTCTTATTATTGCAAAATCCATTAGAATCCATTATTCTATGTAATATGCCAAGACGTACAATAATCTCTCTGATGTGTTATTTTTACAAACTCCTTCTCTTTATAATTTATCCATTGAATAATTTTACCATTTTTGTATGTTTACTTTTATATACACCTATTGTTCACGTCATTTATATATTGTTTATTTCATATTATTTGTAATTGCCTTGGCCTGGTAAGTTCCAAACGCAATAATAAATAAACGTAAATAAAACGTAATAGTAAATAAAACCTTTTCAATCTTGAATGACTTCGGGCCCTGTGTTCCTGTTAACGTATAAATGGGATCTGAGGACTGCAATTATTTTGCTGATGGTCATTTTCAGATCTAACCACTTTCTTCATCACCACTGCCACTCTTCTCATAACAGGTGAGACAGCATTAACTGCATATGCTACCTGCCCCATACCAGGCCCAGCTCTTTCAATTTATTTTTATATAGCACTTTTCACAACAGAATTGCCCCAAGACGCTCTACCTGTGTGTGTTGTGATACATTCCCACATTCAAAACAGGGAAAAGGAAAGACAAAGAAATGAAAGAAAGAAAGCCAGGTGACAATGGAGGAGAGGAACCAAAATCTACCAAGCAGGGAGGAAAATAACCTCTGGGGGTCCATGGTCAATGGCTGCCCCCCCCCCCCCCAATGCAAGGTGTAGACCATGGTCAAGGTCAAAGCCAAAGTCCATCAATGAGTCAGTTCTCCATGCCAGCCTGCGATGGGGGGCAGATTGAAGGCTGCACCTACAATGTTGCAGTTTGTAAGTCACATCCATGATGTCACCCCCTCCATGAGACTGAAATCCGACAACTTACCCTTATAAGCCAGTAACCCCGCTTTGTAGTACAGGACTCCAGCTCAGGTGATGCCCACTCTAGGCGCCATCCGGACATGTGGGAAGGAAGGCAGAGAGCATGAGTTATGTGCCTTACATGTAAGTAGGAGAGCTTCTGAGTCAGTCCTGAACCTGACAGGAAGCCAGTGCAGGGAACTAAGAGAAGGTGTCTCATGTTCAAACTTCCTGCTTCTGGTGACTATATACGTGCTGCTGCATTTTGAATATGCTGCAAGGTGTTTATTGTGTGGTTCGTGCTCCCGGATAGAGCATTACAGTCATCTTACCTACTGTGTACAAAAGCATGCATTAGTTTCTCAATGTCGTGAATAGTAAGGAAACGTCGTAGTTTGACATTGTTAGGTATCTACAGGAAGCACACCTTGGATATTGCATCTACATGCACTTTGAAAAAGAGGTTTGTATCTAAGGTGACACTTAAGCTGCTAATGGAAAAGTTCAGCGTCTCAGAGCGGAGTCTTTGAGAGGACAATGACCAAATTAAAAAAATATTTTTTTTACATCCAGCTATATCTGACGTTACATTACATCATTCTCGGTGAAATTAGTTTTTTTATCTTTCTTAATTTCAAAATGCAGTTACAAAATAACAATGCAAGCGTATAGTGCAAAATAAATTACAAATAGGAATCAGAATATAGGGGTATACGTCAACGTTTCTACAATATATTTCGACCTGTGTTAATGTGGAGGTTATATGCCCATATACTGTATGGTTCATTGTAGGCGTTCTTTATTTTAAACTGGCCGTACACGTGGAGTCACATTTAGAATAATTTATCAATTAGATTTCTCAACACTCATTTCGTACGGCTGTTCGTTCAATTTTCACTTTACTTGTACAGTACAATACAAAGCTGACCTGGAAATAGCCTGGGACCTTGATTTCATGTGGTATAAAACTTGAGCATTATGATTATGAGAAAATTCTGAGAAATGGCCTGTCAAACTCGTATAACAAAAAATAACATGGTTTTCAAAGTGCATTTTCTTGCAAATGATACAGTGAAAGTCTGGACTTTCATATGATATGAGAATTTTTTTGCATTATGGGAAAGTAAGAATTTCATTGTATTTTGTTACGTCCTGTACTAAAACCAATTAATACAAACCTGTAGCCTACTAAAACATTGTCCTACGCGCGATCGCGCAGTGGAGTTATTTTACTAAACGTGATCTGATAAACGCGGATTATTTGACCGCGTAACGGCGAGACGCGGACAGCTTCACGCAGTGCCCATATTGTATTCAGAAGCAGGTGTTCCGGGCAAATCGGTTTCCCTATGTTTCCCCTGTCTATCAAGAAATAATGTTTCCCCTAATATTAAAGCAAAGAGGTATGTGAAATGTCTGAAAATCACTCAGGTACATTATTACATGTGAATATACTGTATTGTTATTAGTGCCGAGGCCCAGAGTTGCTGTATACCTGTTTTACCAGGGGGGAACCAAATATACTGGATGTCAGGAAATAATGTTTCTCCTAATATTTAGGCAAATATGTATGTGAGATGTCTGAAAATCACTCAGGTACATTATTACATGTGAATAAAGTAGATCGTCACGAATAATGTAGTCTTATAAGCAATACTATACCGTTTTCATCAAGAAATATGTCTATCCAGCGAATTAAATACTTTCATTTATTATCTGTAAAAACAAAAAACATCGAAAAGGCATGTGATGTTTTAAAATATATGGCTTGTTTACCTCAAGAGCTTCGTAAAAAGACATGAAAACAACAGCGCGCGACAGGGGAAACATAGGGAAACTGAATTGCCCGGAACACCTGTCAGGTCATGCAGCCTAATGTGTAGAAGGTTCCTTAGCTCACGATATGTCGAACCACCTATAAAAGGCAGCGATTTCTGAAGAATACGAACCTGTACTTGATTGTCTTATCAAAAATTAAAATTTCCCCATGTTAACCTTTTTGCACAAACCGCTCGTGAGCGCTTAAAAGAGATAGACCAAATATTTGAAAGTGAAAGCAGCTAATTTACAGCAGTACTTAATCTCCTAAAGGACGTCTCCTATACCACCCCTAATTTTGGTAAAGCAATTAAACCCGCGTCGCGGTGCTGATGGTTGCGTGGTGTATTTCCTAAACCATTCACATTGCGATCTAAGGGACTTTAATGTACTACAGGCGGCTTCTGTCGTGCCGCTGTGTCGGGTGTTATTTATGGTCAAAGACACGACTTCTTTTCGGGCTGCATTTAAATTGCCGATCACCTTGAATGCACTTAAAAATGCTGCGCGATTGTGTGGTCGTGCAACACGCGTGCGTAAGGAGCAGAGGATAGATATATAGCATCTGGTTGCATTTCAGTGATATTGGAGACTGCAAAGTGCAGAATTTGTAATATGATCCTTATCTAATATATCCTTTAGAGCAGGGTCAACAACAAACCTGCACAGACATACAAGAACCACCCACCCATCCGTGCAACTGGAGGGGTAACTGTATTTTTTGTAATGAAAAAATGCATAAAAATACGTAATGTCTGAAAACAATGAATAAGAAATTGCTTATACACAAACCATTCATAATTGCTTAATTGGGCTAAAATATAAGCATCCAAGTGATACTAAACGAACAGCCATTCGGGAGCCGTAAGAGCCGGCTCTTTAAAGGGAGCCGATCCAAAAGAGCCGAATCTTTGAAAAGAGCCGGAGTTCCCATCACTACAGCCCGCTATCTGGCGTCATTGCCGTTAGCCCTAAACGGCATACGGGCGGTACCTCCGTCCCAGAACCAACGCGTGCTGTGCCTAACAAGCGATCTCTCATCGGGCGCGGCTGCCCCCACCCCACTTTCTTGCATTCTCCGTTCTCCCTCTTTTAACACCACATCCCTAACAACCCAGGTGTAGCCACTTAATTAACTACTACCTTCCACACCAATCCCTCCCACCTCCACCCACACCACCATTACAATATATATACAACCGACTAATAAGCAGGGCCGTAGAAACCGGCGGAACCTGTGCTCCCAATGTTTAATTTGGATTATTTCATTCATCTCCCCCCCAAATTATTTGCATTTCCACTCCGCCCAATATCAAATTCTCTCTTACGCCTTTGCTAATAAGGGAACGCAATCTGCGCACTATTAATGCCCATCCCGAAAACTAAACGTGATGTTTTTGTCCGTACCTGGTGCATCGCGGGTAACGGAGAAGCGGGAACCAGAGGCGCTGATCTCGGTAAGAGTGCAATTGAGCAAATGTAATTAACTTTAAAGATTTCCGAGCAGAATGATTGGATAAAAGTTGTAAATCGACTGGTAAAAAAGCGTTGCTAAAGAAATTGGCAGACAACAGAAGATTGTCTGCCAATTTTGTCTAAGACGGGGATTTGTGAGGAAGGTGATCATAATGCACTGGCCTTTGGCAAATTATAACACAGTCTTTAAAAAGCCCAATATAATTTAAGTATACAGTACTTTGATTATTTCCCTTAAAATGCAGATCTCAGAGTGGATGTTAATAGTGGGGGAAATTAAGCGTTGAACCAGCTGTTGATAGGATTACTGTGCTATTTAAGTATGTGCTGTATGAAGCTGTTTGATGTAAGTAGTGTTGGGCGGAATTTTTATTATTCCTATGATGTGAATTTTTCTTATACCGCAATACCGGTTTAAATAGCCTAAACAATGTTCGGAAAGTGTCGCAGCTGAAAACTGCGCTGAGAATGTCCCGCGAAAGATCTGAAATGGAAGATACAGCTGACGCTGGAGACACTGGGGTTGCCAAAAAATCGATTCTAATCGATATTTAAAATTAGAATCTAATTAGATACTCATTTTCACCATTATAGATACCAACAGTGCGGTTTTTGCTTCATTCACCACACTTCACACAGTTCAAAAATGTTAACTTGGCCGGCACACACCTTGGCATTAGCCATTTATCCATAAGCAGTTAGCTAACAAACACGTTAGCCTTATGTTATCATTAAGGTAGCGGATAGGCGCAATGGATAATAAAATATAGTTAATGTGAGAACAATACAAAAACGTAAAACAAAAATGTGTCCTAGTCATACTTTTAAAAAAAAAATACCGTCATGTACCGTGAAACCGATATAACTTTGAAAAATGCCCTGATATAGTTTTTTTGGTCACCGCCCAGCTCTAATTGTAAGTACTGATTTATAAGCAACTTTGACCAGGTCACATGTTGGTGTGACTGTAAATGTAATATAAGGTCCCACCTGGACTTGGATCGTGGTTGATGGATGGATGATTGTAAATAAAAATAAGCATGCAAAAGCAAGTGACCATTGAACTATGTAACTACACTGGCACATTAACGCATTATGAAGTGATCAAAGATGAGTTAGTTAACATATATACACTCACTGGTCACTTTACTCTCTATACCTTGCTAGTACTGGGTTGGACCCCCTTTTGCCTTCTGGAAGTAGCCATTAGAAGCTGGGTACACTGGTCATAAAGGGATGGACATGGTCAGCAGCAACTCGGGTAGGATGTGGTATTTATCCAATGCGTAATTGATACTTAGGGGCCCAATGTGTGCCAAGAAAATATTACTCGCACCATTACACCAACACCAGCCTGAAGTGTTGATACAAGGCAGGATGGATCTGTTTTGTCATGTTGTGTATGCCAAATTTTGACCCTCCCATCTGAATGTCGCAGCAGAAATCGAGACAGTTGAGCGATGATCCATCTTCTGTTGTCCAGTTTTGGTGAGCCTGTGCCCACTAGCCTGAGTTTCCTGTTCTTACCTGACAGGAGTGACACCCGCTGTGGTTTTCTGCTGCTGTAGCCCATTTGCTTCAAGGTTTGACATGTTGTGTCTATAGAGATACTCTTCTGCATATCTTGGTTGTAATGAATGGTTGAGTTACTGGTGCCTTTCTGTCAACTGGAACCAATCTGACCATTCTTTTCTGCCCTCTGCCATCAACAAGGCTGATTTTGGCCCATTCCTTGTAAATCCTAGAGATTTCCTGAAGCAATCATACCAGTCCATCTGGCACCTACAAATGTGCCATATTCAGAGTCACTTAAATCACTTTTCTTCCCCGTTCTGGTGTTTGACGTGAACATTAACTGAAGCTCCTATCTTGTATCTGAATTTTTCTATTGCTCTGATTAGATATTTGCTTTATTGACCAATTGAATAGGTGTACCTAATAAAGTGGCCAACGAGTGTATATAATAAATCTGGGAATGATCTAAAACAATGCTGAGAATATATAAAATTATTTATTTATTCTCTTTTAACAGAAAATGAGTTCCATGTCCCAACAGCAAGAGGAGTTGGTATTCTTCCTTGGTAAGGTATAGCTGATAAACCAGTAATGAATATTAGAAGTTGTTTTAATATGAATATGTGTAATGAATATAAAAATTTAAAATGAATATAAACGTACAATTCTACAAGACCTGACACGATCAATGACAGCGCTTGATTGTATGTTTTGTGACATCTGGGTATCCATGGTAACATGACCATAGTCACAGTAGTATGTACAGGAAGATGGAATTGCCTGCTAGGCATTGCTGCTGGTCACACCTTCTCCGGTGCCCACGGGTCAGCTGCAGGATCGGCAGCCAGGAACCACCGATCAACCTTTCGCTCCTTTTAATCCTGGAACGTCTCCTGGGACGTCTCCCTGTCACCCCTGCAGCTGATAGGTGTTTTCCCTGCGGCTGTTATTGGGGTTAGTTGTTTCCCCAGCACTTGTCCTTCCTCCTCAGCCAAAGCCAAACACTCCCCTTCTCAGCCTCCTCTGCCAGCTCTTTGGTTGTCTTCTTTATGTTCCCTCCGGTCACTCCTACGTCCCTCAGAAGGTGTGTAGTTGACAGCCCTACATAGCCTCGGCATCCAACTTCTGCTGGATAGATGCTAGTCTTCCAGCCAGCCATCCGGCACCCAGCAGCCAGCTCTGAGTACTTGGCTTTTTTCCACTCGTAGACAGCCTCTATCCTCCTCTGCTGGTATTGTGAGCTCGATGAGGAGCACGGATTTCGCTTTGGTGGACCACGCCACTATGTCAGGGCGGAGAGATGTAGTAGTGATCTCGGTTGGGAAACGGAGCTGCCTGTCGACATATTTATGGTGTAGCATTGCTCCTTGTTCCTCAGCTTCCCAAGTTCACGAGTGCGTACTGTCAGTCAAAGCAATATGCAGCCTTTGGCGGTGACCACCGTTTTGGACAATTGAATAGAGCCCGGTGCCCCTGAGCCAGTCCCTGGCCGTTCAGGGCCCAAGGCTGGAGTACAGCCTGGCCAGATGCCAGTCCGTCACACACACAGTCCCGGCTTATGATTAATTTAGAGGCCCTTAGCCTGACTGCATGTCTTTGGACTGTGGGGGGGGGGGGGAAACTGCAAACGTGCAACAGTGGGAGAACATGCTGATTCCTCACAGACAGAGCGCAGGTGGAATTCAGACCCCCAACCTTGGGGGTGTGAGGCTACTCACGCAGCAGCCGCCATGCTGCCTGTAAAGACATATCAGCAAGTAAAACAACTCTCACATTCTTAACACTTATAGTACATACACACTCTATAAATAAAACACTAAATACAGGAGTGCATACATACACACACACAACTACAGAATGCAGTCAGTCCTAGTGTGTAGCTGTATATACAATGTTAAAGCCAATACACATACATCCAGACTCTCCTAATACTATGTACAGTGTATTTTCAGCTTAAAGAACAGTTCATCAGCTATAGTATTATTTCCAGTTAATTACTAAATCCTGCCCTCTCGATTTTTTTATTTATTTTTGTTTTATTAGTTTCTGATTGGCTTGCAGGTAATATTCCAGTCAGTATATTGGTTGTAGATGAAGATGAGGAAGATTGCCGGGCTTTGGGTCAAAGATCAACGGGCAAGAAGACAAATAAGCCATTTGAGAAAGGTATTTGTTGTTCATGCTAAAAACTGTAATGTCCAAACATGTTCAAAAGTAACTGGTAGGACTGTTCAATACCCTGAAGAGAGTAAATTGTTCAAACACTCATATTTATGCAGATAGGAGTCCTCAGTTAGAGGAACACCCAACGCTGAGGTCGCCGGGGGAATCCAGAGGCGCAAGTAGAAGGACCAGTAAAGGGCGACACGAAGGTGGCGCCCCCTGTAGGCAGGCTGTGGAGGGGAACACGGAGAGCCCTGCTCAAGCTACTGAGATGAACAGTACAGAGCGTCAGCTGAGAGACCATAGATCTTGCCCAGTCCGTGACTGTTCCTCCCCCAGAGCGGACTCTGTCCTCGTGAGGTGTGTGGGTAAGAGCTCTGTGGGCTCCCTGCTTTGTGACCGTGTCACTCCTGTGGTCAGAGAGTTCAAGGAGGATCAATCAAGCACTTCGAGATGCAAGTCTGAGTGGAGCGTAAGTGGCCTGGGCAGCATGACGCGTAGATATAGCTGCCAGCAATGCCTTTATGTCACCTCCCGCTCCGACAGTCTGGCCTGCCACATGAGGATTCACACTGGTGAGAAGCCCTATGGATGTCAGGACTGTGGCCGTGCTTTTCGGACCCGCAGTGAACTGAATCGTCACCGTCACCCCAAAACGTTGCAGTGTGACGTCTGCGAGTATGCCACAAATAGGCTAGACCACCTGAAGATCCACAGGCGGATCCACACAGATGAGCGGCCCTGTGTTTGTGCCAAATGTGGGCTGGCCTTCCGGACCTCGAGCCACCTCACGCGGCACAAGCAAATTCATGGGGACAAGTTGGATTGATGGGGAGGTGACGTTTTATACGTCTGGAATGTTCTCACGCTATAAAACTGTTCTGGGGGGGGATTAAAGTCCTGCTTTTGGGTTCGACATCAGATCATAACCTCAGGGAATGAAGCTTTAAATGTCCTAACATGCAGATGCACATCTCCTTTGTCTCCTCTGAAAGTAATTACTTAAATTGCACATCTTTTAATATTTTGAAGTGCATTGCTTTTGTTGTGGTATCCCTGACGTGAAGGTCCTTCTCATCTCGTCTGTGATGAAACAGATTTTGATTGCTTTAGGAGAATTTTCTGTTGTCCACTTTGTTATAAAGTATACTTCTCATGCCATTGCAGTATTTTAATAATCTGCAGAGGAATATAATTATGATTCACGCTTCATATTAATTTCTATATTCTTTGAAACCAGCTCACTTATGTGTGGTGACGAGTTTGGGTCACATCATCGGTGCACATCTGTAATCTCTTCCCTCATGCAGGGCATTTCTGACAAAGCTTTGTGCTGAATACTTTTTGGTTTTCACTTCTAAAGCGAATAATGTCTGTAGCTGAAAATGTACAAGACAAAATTCGAGTTCAGTGTCTGGCTGCAGAGTAATTATTATCATCTTTTGCAGGACATGAGAGCTGCTTGCTAGACAGGGTTTGTTACAGCAGTTGCCACGAGTCGACAAATAAAATACTTGCAATTATGTTGTTTTTTGGCTTGATTTATACACACAGTATATTAAACAATGGGCCAGGCTATTTACAAACTCACACGGGGGTGACGAGTCCGGTTCTGCTCTCACACCTTTGAAGCTGCTTCCCTTCTCCCTCCAGACCGCCAGCGGGAGACCCTGCTTCACTGAGGGCCGTGTGCTGATCATGTGATTTTGGCTCCACCTCAGGTTTGAGCCTCAAATCAGTCAGGAAACAGGAACACTTGTGGATACTGTGGAAGAGGCTTCCTGTCTTCCTTTAACCAGAGAAGGCCTGACACCATCTTCAAGTACTTGCCTCTATCCATTCTCCAACCATTTATCCTGAGCAGAGATGTTGTTGAAGAGGAAGCTATTGTATTTTTATAATGCTGTGTGGAAAAATCCCTGCCATTAAGTATCATTCATACGTACATGGGTTGCACAATGAAACAAACACCTGGGTTTAGACTAGGGGTGCAACGATTATTCGACATTGTTGACAAAAATCGACAATAAAAATAGTCGCCGACGAATTTGATTGTCGATAATTGTCGCCAGACGTATTTTTAAACGGAGTGAGACGTTTTCCTTCCTTTATACTTGTGCAATACTACCGCTTTCCAATAGACTGCACCAATACACCACACAGGTGAGATTCGCTCTTGCGCAATAGCATTCGGTAACAGGTAGAAGAATGGTGGCCACAAATCAGGCATCGTCGCATATTAAACGCTCTAAAGTCTCAAAGGCTTTTAATGTCCGAAAACAAAGACGAGATCTACAAAAGGGTGAATAGCACGGACTTCTTGTTGTCTGGCGTATCTAATAATAAATAATAATAATAATAAATAATTATAACAACAACAATAATAATAGGGCATAATAATAGGCTAGTAGTAGTATATTTTACATTTTCAAAAAAGATCAGAATAGACCGTATTTTTGTTTGGAAGTCGGTGGTGTGTCATGAAGTGTCTCATTCGCTAAAAATTTAGCTAATAAAGGTCAGAAAACAGTGTAGAAAACCCATTGCTTAAATAAAGAAGGCAAAACTGAAGCTCAAGATTCAGGAGAGTGGCTCCGATGTCGCAAGTGCTGCGAGAGCTTATGCTCCCTTAAAAATAAATAACAGCAGTTTAAGTCCATTTTCTTGCTGTTAACAGAGGAATGGCAATGGGAAGCTGGGTCAGGATCTTGGGATTTTTCAGCCTGCTTTAAAATGAGTTTTTATTTGTAAACATAGGCTATATAAATAGCTGATATGACAAGAAATGACCGTGCATTTTAACCCCTATACCGCAAATGAAGTACGAATTAGCATATACAGGTTAAAATGCATGATAATTTCTTGTCATATCAGCACAAATGCACATAAAATACGTATTTGCACTGTCACAGCAAAAGATTGCCGCACGTATCGCTTATAAAAGGTGAATGCGTACTTGCGTACCAGTTATATGCAGCCCTGATTATAACAAATATTGTATCAGAAATTCGGATCGGTGCCGATCCAGACCTATTTGACGGATCGGGTATCAGCCATGTGTGACCAATCCACACCCTATACTTACTTATTTAGTTTTTGGCAATCTCTAAAAAGAAACCTCCCATTTCGTGTTAAATCTATTTGCACAATCAATCGCACGACAGCCTTTTCCCCATTTTACATGTGTTGTTTTGCGGCATTGATGTCGAACAATAACCTCATGCTAAATGTAAAAGCTGGTAGCTAAATAGGAGCCATTTTATAATTATGCAATTTATAATTCGATTAGTCGACTAATCGTTTTAATAGTCGATGACTAGTCGACTATCAAAATAGTCGTTAGTTGCAGCCCTAGTTTAGACTATAATTTATTAGTATGGTGTTAGGCCTCCATTCGTAGCCAATACAGCATCAGTTCATCTTGAGACTGACAGATACAAGTCCTGCAAATGGCCAGAGGGATCCTGAGCCGTTCCTCTTGCAGAACAGCGGCCAGGTCAGTATGTGATGCTGCTGGAGGAGAATGTTTCCTGACTCGCTCCTCCAAAATACTCCAAAGTGGCTCAATAATATTCTGATCTGGTGACTGTGCAGGCCATGATAGATGCTCAACTTCACTTTCATGTTCATCAAACCACTCTGTCTCCAGTCTTGCTGTGTGGTGGTGCATTAAGATCCTGATACATGGTGCCACCTTCAGGGTACAATATTTGATCCATCGGGTGAGTCCATCCCAGCAGAAATCAGCATGCTACCTTGTCTCTTTGCCAAGTCGTCTACAATCCTGAGGTCTACTAAGGTTCAGCTCTCCTGCTCCCAACTCCCACCTTGTTACAGAAAATTCTTGCCAAGTGCAGATTTCCAAGATTAAACATCTCTGCTAGGATCCAACTGTCAACAACAAATGTATTTTTGTATAGCGTGTTTTCACAACATTACATTGTCTCAAAGCGCTTTACAGCATCCCCACCCAAAGCCCCCAGTGAGTAAGCCACAGGCAACAGTGGCAAGGAAAAACTCCTGAGAAGGAAGAAACCTTGGGAGGGACCAGACTCAAAGGGGGAGCCCATCCTCCAGGGGCCGGCAGGGAGAGTCAAATCGGAGAGATGGCTAAGTGCAAAGTCACACAGTCTAAGTCATAAAATATGAGTCACGACCGGGGAGCAGGGAGGTGATGACGTGCCAGTATTGGCGCTCCTTCAGATCGCCGGGCAACCACTAGTAAGGCAGCCGGGCACCCGCTATAATGTCTGAACGGTGAAATAGGCAGCTGGATTGGGATCAGCCTATCATGGTCCTCATGATGTAAAAACTGCATGAACATTATCACATGCAATGTCGATAAAATCGCTCATGACCAATCCTATAATACCCTTAAAAAAGCCATTTTTGAAATCAGTACAAACACCCTGCCTTTGTTTTGATGACATCATTTTGCACCGGTACCAGTTTTTCACACCAGTGGAAGTACCTAGAGCGTGGTACCTGTTGCAGTGGAAAAGCACCCTAAAATATAATGAGATAGTGAAATGTAATGGAATCCCCTTAAAGTTTGAAGAACAAACCAGAGTCTTATCTGTAAGTCTAATCAGGAACGTCTTAAATTCATAAGTTGTCTGCAAATGACATGCAAGCAATGGGTTTATAATACACTTTTAATGTCCTAGGAACATAAGCATCATTCTTCACAAAAAGAACATATCATATAAACAGACACATTTAAGATAACTACTGTCACATAACTGCAACATTACTTCAATTCTAGATCCATTCTGAGTGTTTATAATGAAAAGAACAAATGGCATCTGAGTTCAGACAATTTTTGTTATTTTGATTGTGTTGCATTATTGATGAACCTGTGGTATTAATCATCTGAGAAGTACATCACGGTGTTTGAAGTTTTTTCCAGGATGTCGCAGTGTCATTTCTGAAAGCATCACACAGAAAAACGTATGATTTTCATTCTTTCATCTGGAGAAATGATCACAAGGCCTGACGGTTCTTCTCCAGGTTCTTCTCAATGTTGTCAATGACCTCCACGGCAGCTTGAGGGATTCTTGTCCCCGGACCAAAGATGCTACACACTCCCTTGTCATAGAGAAATGGGTAGTCCTGGGGGGGGGTACATTACTGAATTACACCAAAAGCAAGAGCATGCAAACTCCACACATACAAAGCAGGGGGGGAATCGGAACCCCTAACCCAAGAGCTGAGGAGGCAGAGCTTACAGTCGAGCAGCAATGGTGAAGACCAAGGATGACCACTCTAGTCTGTCTTGTAACAGTACAGTCACTGTTTCGTTTAGCCATGAAATTCCCACACAACCAGAAAGAAGAGCATCCAAGGAAAAATACTCATTTAAGGAAAGAAAACCAATTCTGAGATGCAGACTCCCACAATCACTCTGAGCCCCCTCGCCACTCACCTGCGGTGGGATGACCCCCCCACAGATGACCAGGATGTCGGGCCGGTTCAGATTCCTCAGCTCCTCGATCAGCTCAGGGACGAGGGTCTTGTGGCCGGCGGCCAGCGTGCTGATGCCCACACAGTGCACGTCTGCGTCCACGGCCTGCTGGGCCACCTCCAACGGGGTCTGGGGGGGGGGGGCGGGTGGCACATTTACACCTGTTCGAGCCCCACATTCCCCATAACCTCTTCATCTACTTACACCTGCTAAGCATAACCAGCCTAATCCGGTTATCTGGGAAAAGCTATAGATACTTCAGTGTGGGAATCCTCAGTATGGGAAGACTGGAATACTGAGTGTGGGAGTGTGGGAACACTGGAATACTCAGTGTGGGTGTATTTTGGACTTCAGCTGAATGTTTACATTCACAGCATTCGCTGACTCACAGCCAAATGGTGAAAACACTCCAATTCCCGTCTGATGCCTCATCTCAGCAACTATGCTGCAGCCTCTAATAACTGCACATGTTCCCCTCAGAGACAGACCACCACACAGAAAGCAAGACAAATGGACACAGAGTTCTGATTTGTCACAAATAACCGAGGTATTTTGGTTTGACAAAAGATCTGCATAATCAGGCAGTTATTGTCTGGTTGTATGTAATCTGATAATTCAGATTTTAGAACAGGAATGAATTTTATGCCAGTTTGACAACACAAACCAAAAGCATCCAAAACTCAGCTCCCCCTAAAAGCAGCCTGAATGAACCTCTTCATGATGAATCCGATTAAACAGCAGAGAGTCTAGCTGGGCGTCGTTTTCTCAGTGTCAGTCACATGTACCTGAAAAAGGGGCCCGATGTCAACATCAAAGCCCAGGTCGGCGAAGCCCGTAGCGATGACCTTGGCGCCCCTGTCGTGCCCGTCTTGCCCCATTTTGGCCACTAGGAGGCGAGGATTGCGGCCTTCGTGCTTCTTAAATTGCAAAACCCTAGAAAACGGTAAAGTGGGGTCTATTTTCTGAAAATCAGCTTTGATGGAACAGAAAGGTAGGGAGGTCTTTCTGATCTACAAAACACCCCCCAGCTCCTGAGAGAATCCCGAGGTCCATCCTACATCTTAGAGCTGTAATTAGACCTATCCAGTGCCATACGGGGGGGAAACAGTAAACATGTGATTAGATCTACTGCCCCCCCCCCCCCCCCCCCAATAACTGTACACCAAGTTTTGGGGGTGTGATCCTCACCATCGACAGCACAGGGACAGTAGCTGAACAGTCAAAACACGCACATGAAAAATCACTAAATGGATTCTGGGTTAATATAGACCAGAAACAGCTTACCTGCCGTGTGCAGCGGTGATTTCCTGGTTCTCCCCAAACTCACTTCGATACGCTCCGCTCACCATGCGGCTGCTGGCTTTGTGCTCGCCAAAAACGCTCTTCATGGCGTCTGTGATCTCACCGACGGAGCAGCTAGAGGAACACACACACGACGCACATGAACCCAGTCAGTCTAACTCTAACCCAAACCCCCAGAGCCCCTTCATAGACAACATTGAAGTTCTCACAGAGTAAATCATTTTTAAACAAAAAAAAATATATGTATATAATAATATAGGAGACATTTTGGTGTCAGTTCCTTGTCATCTTCCCATTTCCAATCAATAAATTGTCTGTCCTTTGATCATCCATCCACCCTCTGAGTGTTGTGGTCCATTAACTCCTGCATTTCCAAAGGGCCTTACTTTCTATGAAGATTTAAAAGATTGTATTTCTGAACCTGTCTACTGTAATCATCCCTGAGATCCACTTCTAAACCACATGAACTCTATCATTAATGGCCATGCAGCCTCTGGAATGGTATCACGTCACTCTCCCAGTGGCCACACACAGTATTCTCTACACCAAGCATGGCCGATTCAGTAGCTAGATAGTCATTGTCATCACAAAAGCTCATGTCCAATCAGAGCAAAGCAGCCGCACGGTTTGGGGTCAGTGCCCAGCAGGCCCCGCCTCCTTTCATCCGCCCGGATGTCTGAGTCACCGTGTCCGCGCCGCCTCCACGGCCAGAGCCAGCAGGTTGCCGCTGCGGGTGCGAGCGCATTCCTCTATAGCGGACAGACACCTCCTGACGGCCTCAGCATCACGGCTCTCCCTCACCTGGTGACAGGGTACGGCACGTTAGACACACACACACAGACATCACAGTAACACACACACACAGATGCATAGTCCGCAGGGGATATTGATGTCGTGCAGACAGACACAGTCAGACACTCGCCTTCTGGAGCTTCTCAATCTGCTTGTTGCGCACGGCCGTGTTGTCGATGGCCAGAACCTCCACGGTCTCCTCCTTCTCCAGCCGGTACTTGTTGACGCCGACAATGACTTCAGAGCCTGAGGGAGGAAGTGCAGAAGAGTGATGAAGATGATGCTAAATAGCAAAGACATTAATAATAATACTAAGGATGGATGGATGGATGGATGGATACAATTCTTGTGGGGAATCAAGTGGAAAATATATACACATGTAACTACATAACTGCAACACACACTCCTCCCAGCAGGGGGCTGTCAGTCCAGTTTTCACTTGAAATTTCAACAGTAGGGGTTTCTACTGGTGTCAATATGAACAGAGCATGTGAATGTGAGGGGTCATAAAAAATGAAAACATATAGTTTATTTAGAAGTATTTATAAAGTAACCAACCCCTCCGCAAAACCCCCAGCGTTCTGCCGCCCAGTTGAATATTGGCCACAGACTGGTTCGGGGGGGGGGGGGGACCCCTATTCAACAGCACTAATCACGCTTCTCAATTATATCTGAACACCCACACAATCCATACTACTCCACTAATAACTCTCAAAGACATTATTGAATCAGAACACATTTTGCCTGCAAAGATAAATTTTACATTTACTTCAGATCAAGGGCATTTAGTTGGGTTGGGGTAGCATCACTAGTCTACAAGCACCTCTGGTGGAAAAAAAGCCCCGATCACACTAATTACCTCCGTATTGAAGGTCTGCTAGGAGGATTCTGGAGTGTGAGTTTGAGCAGTACTGCTCAGGCAGGACAGACTGCCTGTATGGGCTGGGGGGCACAGCAATGCAGGGTGGTGTAGTTAACCAACATATTTATGTTTCTTTGATTAGGATTTCGCACCTTTTTAATTCAGCTCTCTCAAAGGCCCTTCAATCCAAAGTTCTGGTACCTAAAATCCTTCTAACTACCGTATTTACTCAGTACAGGATGATCTCTGGGGCTTATTATTAAAATTCTTTAATATATGTTTATTACAAATTTATAATTTGTTGGTAAAAATCTGTTAGACTTGAACTTTACCCTTTTCCCATTAGTTTGAAAACTGTGTCCTCCAAGCAGTTCTGCCCCCCCCCCCCCCTTGATATTGTGCATATCAGCCAGGTGTCCAGGTGTCATGGAAGATTCATTGGGGTACCTGAGTCTATCCTGGCCTGCCTTCTGGCGGCGCACTCCTCAATATGCAGTTTGGGGATGCCCTCCGCCACAGCCCGAGCCATGCCGCCCATCTCCTCGATCTCATTAATTAACTGGGACCAGGGGAGGGGGGGGGGGAGAGAGGGACGAGAGACAACATACCCAGGTTAGTCTGTTAGTTACGTTGCCTTTGAACATCATTCCAGCAACCGGGCTATATATGGACAGAAAACAAACTGAACAAATACAAAAATTAAATTGTCATAAATAATTAGAAATTGCTATAAACAGACAAACCAATCTAAAATAAGGTGTTTAACATTAGTTTTTGATTTAAAAAAAAAAAAAAAAAAAAAAAACTTAAAACACGTCTGGCATGACTTTATTAAAAACCTCAGTTAAAGGACCATGAAAATGATAAATGAAGCCAAGGGAGATTAAAGAAGGACAATATGACAAAACATGCAGTCAGAGGAGCGTTACATGCAGGACATACAGCTGGATCTGCACTTGTAAGTTAAAACATGTTAAGCCCAACACACCACCTTGTATAAATGACCTGGTCCTACTGGCTTTATAATACACAGGTAAAAACAGCAAAATGACCTAGACTAGGTACATGTGAGTTAGGACTGGTCATGGGGATTCCTTACCTTGAGGGCACCGTTGTAGATGTCACTGGTGAGGGACTCCATCATATATGACCCCCCCCACGGGTCAGCTACCTTGGGGATGCCCGACTCCTCCTGGATGATGATCTGTGTGTTGCGGGCGATTCGCGCGCTCTTGATGGTGGGCAGCCCCAGCGCCTCGTCAAACGAGTTGGTGTGCAAGGACTGTGTGCCCCCGAAAACAGCAGCCATGGCCTCGATCACGGTGCGAATCACGTTGTTGTATGGATCCTATGGCAGGGGACACCGCAACTTAAAACGGGCCGCAACCGGACTCAGAAGACGCCTACAATTTTATATTAAAACATGACCAACAGGAACTCTAATATCATCAACACTCCACAGGTTTTAGTAAATGCGGTCGACCCTTCTGCATCGCAACTTTCTTCATAGCGGTTTTGCGGGGTTGGCGTAAGAAATTAAATGGGAATTTTTCAAGTTTCACTCATAAATGCATAGAGCTGGTTTGGATGATGCCCAAGCGTTTTACGGCAGCCTTTCACATCACATCTCGCCATAATCTTCGTATCACTTGTATCTTTGTTTTCTTGTATCTTTTCACTCCGCTTAAGTGCTTCCTTCACTCACCAAGGGGACCAGAAAGTTTTATGTGGTTTTTCCAGATCACAGGGCGCCTGCGCCCCTAACCCCTGTGAAGTGGGGGGTCAACTGTATGTTTAAATAGGTCTAGGTTTCCCTATATTTTAGGCCTACCTTCTAGGGTTGGGCGATGTCTACAATGAAACATTGCGATGGATGACGGACTAAGCAACAGCCAGTGCCTAAAAACAACTCCTCTATATTTACGTCCCTCTGGCTTACCTGTTCTGTTAGAGACCATCCAGATGTCTGGCAATGAGCTCTCAGCAGCAGTGACTTGGAGTCCTGAGGTTGAAACTTCTCCTTGATCAGACTGGCCCAGAGTCGTCGGCCAGCTCTCATCTTGGCAATTTCCATGTAAAAATTCATGCCGATACCCCAAAAGAAGGACAGTCTGCACAACAAAGAGCAATGGACACAACATCAAGCTGCTTTCAACATCAACATCATTTGAATGTCACTGTGCCATTCACGAACATTCCCCCCACCAGAAAAAGTGCTTTGAAGACCAGTGAATTGAAAAGCAATTCTTAAACGAAAACACACAATTAACAAGACTGAACGAGTCCTTTTATCGACACCTATCTATGCACCTTGGGGCAAACTGGTCGATGGTGAGGCCAGCCGTTAGTCCAGTACGGCAATATTCCAGACCATTGGCGATGGTATAAGCCAATTCAAGGACAGCATCAGCCCCAGCTTCTTGTAAGTGATACCCGCTGATGGAAATGGAATTAAACTTGGGCATGTACTGCAGAGGGAAGAGAAGAGAGAGTTGACCATGAAAGGCAAAAGGAGGACTAAGTTTAATCAATGGTTAACACGATATGCCTCTTCTGGAAGGTACCTTGGAAGTGTAGGCGAATATATCAGCGATGGCATGCATGGAAGGCTCCGGAGGGAAGATGTAGGTGTTTCGGACCATAAACTCCTTGAGGATGTCATTCTGGATGGTGCCGGTGAGCTTCTCCGGTGGAACGCCTTGCTCCTCTCCAGTCACGATAAACATGGCCAGTATGGGAATGACCGCCCCGTTCATTGTCATGGAGACGGACATCTTGTCCAGGGGGATGCCGTCAAACAGCATCTTGGTGTCCTCGACGGTGTCTATAGCCACACCCGCCATCCCCACATCGCCGTGCACCCGAGGGTTGTCAGAGTCGTAGCCACGATGGGTGGCCAGGTCGAAAGCCACAGACAGACCCTGCTGTCCAGCTGTGAAAGCAAAGCGTACACCCAGCATATAATACTACAAAGACAGACATTACTGCAATTCAGCTGATGAGAGCTATTAAACCTTCATTCACTACCTATTCTTTACATTTAAAGAAGAAATCACATTAAAATGTGTCTACATGTATTTACTGCACTTATTTTTCTTAAACGCTTTTTCCCCCCCAAAGTACCTTGCAACTCTGAAATTGTATGGTTGGACATTTCTCAGGGCAATTCAGATCAGATAGTATCCTATAGAACAGGGGTTCTCCACCTTTTGATGAGTAAGGACCAGCATACGTTGTTACAAAATTGCCACGGACCGCTGTAGGCGGTGAAAGGTATCAAGAGGGATATCGGCTTGGGAGGCAGATTTAATAAGTTTAGCCGTTTACATTGTTTTCAGATAGAATCAGGACATGTGAGCGTCAGGGGTTGTAAAAATTCATGGCTTAAAAGTATATTGGTTATTTTTGGAAATCAACCAACCACAGCCCGGTGGAATACTGGCTGTGGACCAGGGGTTCAGAACCCCTGCTCGAGAGAACTACAGCACCTCTCTTAAAGGGACTTTAACAAGTTACGTCTCTGTCATCAATCACCATGCTGTCCTACACCTCCTTTATGAACAAACATGATAAGGGGCGGGGCTAACAATTACAAATAATAATGCAGCATACATTTTAGTTTAGGGTGACCAAATAATCCATGTCAGGGAGGACACTTTGAGTTAGCACAGGATTTGTAAACTACCATTTCAATTAAAAGCACCTGATTTTCACTTAAGGGCTGAGTTCTTGCTGTGTGCTGATTGGTCAGTCTCCTATAATCATGCATATGTCACTAATGCTAATGTGAAACAGCTGGGCGAGTCTTTCAATCAAGGAAACAAACCAAAGTACAAGAAAAACTGAGCTATTCGGCCAAACACAAGAACCTTTCAGTTTTAAAGTAGTTCGTAAAACCCTAAGTAGCTCGAAGTGTCTATGACAGATTTTCCGGTGACCCGATTTTAGATAAAAACATGTCCCACGTGTGCATTTTCTGCTTCCAAAAAGTGGGGCAATCTGAACAGCAGACAAACTGCATATGTACCATAAGACTTGTGTAAACCTATGTACAGCTGGTTCTGGCTTCGCCATTTTACTCTCTGCGTGAAGGTTTAAGCAGGCATACCCTTGAGGTTGTCTCTGTAAAACTTGTTACTTTCCTCCACGGTGCTGAAGCCCGCATACTGCCGGATGGTCCATGGTCTGTACGTGTACATGGTGGGGTAGGGACCCCGGGTGAAGGGAAAGACCCCAGGCAGCTCATCGGACACCCCACTCGAGTCAGCACGGGTATAGACGGGTTTGATGGATATGCCCTCCGGCGTGTGCCACATCAGCTCCTCGGGGTCCTTCCCCTTCAGTTGCTTCTTCGCCAGCTTTGCCCACTCTGGGTGCAGCTGGGCGGCCCGCACAGGCTCCGTGGCCCAGAAGCGCCGGCAGGGCTGGTCCGGCCAAGGCGCGCAAGCCGAGGCTGACAGGAGCCGCCGGGATGCAAGCGCCGTCCGAGCCGCCAGCATGACTGATCACCGGCCTGCACGCCTGCTTCAGGCAAAGGACAGCTGCAAAGCCGCAGAAACGCACAGTATTGATATAAACACGATCAACATAATATAAAAAAGAAAGAGGTGGAGGTCTAGCCATGCTGGCAGATGAAAGCTACGGACACCTTTATTGTACAGATATCAAACAGTATCTTGGATGTAGGATTTTGGTTGCTACGTGAAGAGTTTTATTCACTTGTTAAAGCAACTATTGCTGTTTGTACCGCTAATAAACGCACGAATCGCCGTCCTATTTATGCATTAGAAAATCGCAGAACCAACGCGGACAGCTTACCACTCTAGTCACGAATCTGACAGGCGCAGCAATTCTGCGTTATTGTTTATTTTCACTGAGATCAGAAAAGGTACTAAAATACAATTGAGTAAAAAGTGAAAAATGAATTCTGACCTTGCTTTATCTTGTTTAACTTATTTTAAGGGGCGTGGAGACTCTCCCAATCAGCGATCAAAACACAAGGCCTTCAGCCAATCAGAGGACGGGTAGGCGAACTTCAACCTCTGACCGGGGAAATAAAAATTCAGCGGAACCAGAATTTCCCACTAGGGGGCGATCGTGAATTTTGCTTAAAAAATGAAACATTATACCACTTTATTCCACCATGCGGCGCATTGCAACGCAAACATTCGTGTTCCATGGCCGTTTACCCAACATAAGGTAGCCGTGAGCAAGCGGGGAACATCCTGTATGGATTTAAAAAACCGGGGGTTTAGTGATGCAAACGATGCTTATATATTACAACATAATTCAATGGAATGTATACTGAAAACTACAAAATACTTTAATTTTTACCTAAACTTATTTAGCTTTTTTTCCTAATTCAAGCAAAAGGTTGTACTAATTTTCTTTTGTAGGCTATTTTTACAGAAGACATTTGCTGATTGAAGAAAAATCACCAAGTCGCAGTCATGGGGGAGGGGCCTCGAGCCTGTCTGAGTCTGTTTGTGATGCCAGTGCATAACAGGGTATACACATTATGAGCAATTGAGACACTAATTAGCCTAAATACATGTCTTAGTACTGCGGAAGGAATGCAGACTCAGAGTGGAGGTAGGAATCTGGCCAGCCCGTGGTGGTGTGACACAAGAGTGATACCCACTGAGTCACAGTGCCACTATTATTATTTTTAGTAATAGTAGTAGTATTATAAAATTTGAAATAAATTGTGTGGGGGGTCCGGCATCCCTGTCAGTAGACTCTGTGAGAACCCCCCCCCACTCCTCACACAAAGACACACTCAGTAGGTTCCACTTATTGGGTTCCTTTCAGTGGATTTCACTAGTGAAGAAGCAAATTTCACGTGTGGGGTTATAACCTGGCTACATGCCTCATCAGTAATAAAAAATCCCCGGGGAGGTCAGACACACAAACACTTTACTTCACTACGTGTCTACATGCTTGGTGACTCAGAAAATATTTCACAGATGTTTTTTTTTTCCACATTTTGCGGAGGTGTGATGAAGTGGAATTGATAAGATTTTGAGACAGATGGCATCAAAACTGAAGCATTACCACATAGTGATGGCAAAACAAGCAAGTTTTGTCACTTAATATTTTTAGAGCAATAGCTGAAGAAGTACTTGAAGGATCTTTTTTAAACTTTGTAGACACATTGTACGACTGAGGAACTGGGATTGAGCTCATTTTGGACAACTCATCCCAAAATTGCAGCAATACCACTTAGTGGAAGCGAAGGGAGAGGTGAAAGTATTTTAAATACTGTACGTAAAAGTATTTTAAGGATCTTTTTCAAACTTTGCAGACACATTGTATGGGTGACAAACTGAAAGTGGTCAAATTTTGAGACTCAAACTTGAGGCTCAAACCTGAAGCAGCACTGCAGAGTTACATCAAAAAATTCAATTTCAGACACTTGATCCTGTTACCATGATAACTCAAAAAGTATTTGATATCTTTTTCAAATATTGCAGACATGTTGTAAGAGTAAAGATCTGGACCTGATCGGATTTTGAGAAAAATCACACCAAACTGTAATGGTTAATCCTTTTAAGGCAAATCGGGAGTCAGAAGCCACTTGTATAGAATTCAGTCAGTCTTTTATTGTATCCACATATGGTACATCAAAGGCTGGACACCCTGCAGGAGTGTGTCCCATACTGGACTACACTGATTTTTATACACTTTTTGCATCTCTTGTCAAGATATTTGTCACAGGGGGTGTCCCAAGCATCATCTTTCTGGACCAACTGTTATCACTCTGCTCAGGTATTTCTTGCCCCTATGTGTCTTTACTGTTATTCCCTGTCTTTTTGGGGTCCAATTACTTCCCCACCTCTATAAATTTCAGGCTGTCAATCATTTCTTTGGTCGAACCATCTAGAAAACAAAGCAAACTGGGCTCCAAAATGTTTTATACACTCATGGCACAGAGCCCAAGAACCGGCCAGGGACATTACGATAGAGACCCAGGCAAGACACCCAGAACTACCACAAGAACGCAGGTGTTTCTTCAATAATGAACAGTAGCAGTCTGGCCGCATGTTGCTTAGCTACAGAGCCAATGATATTCTTGGGTCTTCAACATAGCAATATGCTGCAGAGCTGAATAAGGCACATATTCATGGAGCCAGGACTAACATAAGATACAGAAACTCTGAGGCTAACATTAGAAACATTAAACACATTTTGGTTACATCTGTATAGTTTTATCCTAAGGATTACATTCACTGTTATACAGTGTTATGTAATATTTCATAAGACCACAGAGTGATAGCAAAGAGAAGGACAGCCTCAGACACTCAATCTTGTCAGCATGATACCTCAAAAATTTTCTGACCTTTTCCAGACTTTGTCGACACATTGTATGGGTTGTAACCTGTTCAAATGTTGAGATAAATTCCCCTAAAATTGAAGCAATAGTACTTGGTGAGAGCAAAGACAATGGTGCCTTAGATAAGAAGTTGATCCTTATGAACAAGATAGCCCTATTTGATCTTTGATGGATCTGATTACCACTCCACAAAAACATTACATGGATGAAAATCTACACCTGAAAATCTACACCTGATAGGCCAGAGCCCCAAAATTTAAACTGCAGCGTTGGGGGGGGGGGGGAGCAGAGGGTGAAATTTGAGGCTGTGGCAGCCATCTTGTGAACGCAGCCACCTGTGATCTAAACATATTCTGTGGAACTTTTTGTAAACTTCTAAGGAACATTGTACACGTTTTCTCAAACTGTGGTGTGTGGGATGATTTTCTAAAATTTGCCTATGAGGCAAATTTTATCGGTGTCAGTCCAGTAACCCGTCGGTGAAATTTATGATGGGGGAATTTCAAATTAAATTAAATAGGGCTGTGTAGACAGTGGGTTTTCTCAATATGCATGCTTAACCATACCTGTGTTCTCGCATACTCATTTTACATCATCTCCTATTGCCAAAGACCAGTTCCAATACTAAGAACAGAAGTACAGCGGACAGAAAAAATCCCCAAATGTCTTTCTTGCCCCGCCCCAAAGATCAAGGATGCATCGGTTGCATTCTTGCCAAACGAGAACAATCCCATAAGTCCAGGGACGGATTATGGGTTGTGTGGGCCCCTGGGCAAAACGTTCGCGAGGGCCCCCCCCCCCACCACCACCACCACCACAACCACCACAATTCAAGGGCCCTTGGCAGCCAAACGCCCTCCCTCCATGTTTCCATCAGAGGCTCTATAGGGTCAGGGGCCCTTGTAGGCAGAGGATCAAAGAATGTAGGCCCTCTAAAATAGACAAACGAAAATACATTGTTGATAAGTGTTGCAAATTGTTTTGGGCTAGGGGCCCCATGGGCCCCCTGCACCCCAAGGACCCCTGGGCAGCGGCCCCGCTGGCCTGGTCCGTAATCCGTCCCTGCATAAGTCATTGCATCCCAAATTTGTTCTTATATAGGAGGCAAGATAGCAAAACCACTCTTGCCAAGACCACAAGTACGATCTTTGTGTTCTTGGTATTGAGAAACATCCAGTGTGCAGGGTAGGCTTGGGTCATATTACGGTAATAGGACTATTTTCGATTTACTGCTGTGGTTTACTTCTGTGAAATTTATCATAGGCAATAAAACGTAGCCATAATCCTAGTTAATGGTGGCGCAAAAAATAACAGGCACAAATCTGGTGTATCTAATAGTAATTACTGCAACAAAAGTAGAAAAAAACATGAATACAGTGGAAACCACATATAGTGATCGCATCTGTCTTGGTGAAATTGATCACTATAAGCAGATGATCATTATAACCATTTTTTCCCTTTCTGTCTCAGGAAGGTTTCCATCTAACTGACATTTGTATATTACGTGAATCGTAATTGTTATTTACTGAATTTTATTGATTCTTTCAAAACACAGTACAGCTGTTTAAAAGGCGTTTTCAAATTATGGTACTGTACAACTTGCGTAATTCAAATACGCTATAATACAGATAATACAGTACTGAATATAAAATATACTAATAATTAATAATAATAGATACTTTATTTATTCTCTCTGGGAAATTCAGGTATCCCGTAGCTTTCAGAGAATAAGATAAAAGTTAACTACATTAATAAAAGGTAATACACAATAAAACTATAAACAAATGAATAAATACATCTATCCATCGATGCATACTGGACTGGTAAAATTTATTATTATTTACATAAAAATCTTGCATAAGAACTCTGCTGGTGGTGTCAGAGGAAGTGTCACCTTAAATTAGTTGAGCTATTAAAGAGCCTGATGGCCGTGGGGACGAGTGACACTCCGGACCTTCCTGTCCCGCAGCCTCCTGCCGCCGCTGCTGCTTCCCTGCTTCTCTACAGAGGACGGTTACTGGTGTTCGGGGTGGCCTGACCTTTTGCCCGCGTACACCTTCCCCAAAGTGTCCAATCTGTGGGTGACCAAAACCGAGCTTTCGGGGGCCGGCTGCTTATATTCAAAACGTTGATGTCTGCTTACGTGATTGTTTTTCATTTTAACAGGTGGATATACATTCACCTGGCTTGAAGGTGAGCAAAATTTCAATAAAAGTAAGATATTAATAAACACACAGTTCGGTAGAATCGGTTCTGTTATTGGAACCGAAGTTCCCATCACTAGTTTTCACTGCCAGCAAACTATAAATAAAGGCGGTGCTTCTGGTTTTAAAGTGGCATCGCTTATTTCTCAACATCACCCACAAGCTTGCTTCAGTTTTTCCCCCAAAGTTAAGATGCTAATATAACCTTTTGTGTTTATTTGGTAGTGTTTAGTTTTCATGAGCCTGGGATCTGGTATATTAAGCTATACAGATTTTATGTTGACTGCATCCCACATCGCCTGTTCCCCGCTTACTTGGAAGGTGTATGTAGCCTACAGTTAACAATCAAGGTATCAGTTTCCCTGCAACTAAGTAGATATTTAATTGAACTGTTGGTGTGTCTGTTGCAGTTCTTCAATTTTGATGTTATGTCATGGAAGAAGTTGGTCACAATGCAAATGAGAAACAAATAGAATAGAAATGTTTAGGCATATATCCATCCATCTATCCATCTATTTTCTGAAACCACTTGTTCTATTCAGGGTTGCGAGGGGGGGGTGGGGTGGTCTGCAGCCCATCCCAGATGCTGTGAGCAAAAGGCAATCCAGGATGGGGCACCAACCCATCACAGGGCACACTCACACACCAATATGCAGACATATAAAGAATATACATTATATAAATGGCACTTTATGACATGGGCATTAAGACATGGGCATTAAGACATGCTACAAATGGAATAGAGTTAATCACCTAAGTGGTGGGGAAATACTTTTTTGGGCTTGCACGTTTCCAGGTGATCCATCCAATAATTATAGAAATTGTTGAGGATGTGGGGCGTTGGAGGAGTGAGGATGAGGGGGAGACGGGTGAGGCCCGTGTGCAGGGGGATACACGTCAGACGTTCCAACAGCATCCTCTCTACTCATCAGTATTATTATCCATCTTTGGGGGCCTCAGGCAGCACAAGGCTGCACAAAAATGAAGTTCATATTTCATGGGAAGAAAAGTGTACTGAGTTGTTATCTATGGGCTGTTTAAATGGCCTTTATGTAAACAATATAAACATTTATAGCCTTTAATGTCACATAATTTATCTATTCATTTGTAGCCTAGAATTATGACTTTGTTTTTAGTATGAAAGTACAGTGCAATGTGGTTTAAAGAGAACTGTTGGACTGCTCTAGTTAATGGGCAGGGGTGTAGCTATAGAAATTCAGGCCCCCTGACAAGATGTATTTTACTGTTTGGGGGTGGGAGGGGGGCAGTAATCGACAGTGCTGTGCCCCAGAATCTTCCAGGAGCTACTTGTCCCTCTATTGTCCCTGATAACTGGCAAATGATCTTCAGGAAATGGTCACCCATCTGATGGGAATGATATTTTTTTTCCATCCTTGCTCTCATACTTGCAGTAGAAATATATTTCAGGCTTTACAAACAACTCTTCTTGATTTCAAATGTAAAATGACATGGTACTTAGGCTAACCCAGAATTGTGGAACCTGCAATGGAGCACACTGTGTTCAGTGTTTATGATTGTGGCGTTTACTTTATGGCAATCTGGCGGAGCACATCGGCGACGCCCACTTCCCTTTGGTGATTGTGGCTGGGCAGGGTCTGTCTGCGGGGAACCGCAGCCCAGCACAGCGTGGGATCCTGCAGACTGGCAGCCTTGGTGTGTGGAGAAAAATATCAACGGGGCTCAGCAGCAGACGCCTTTACTTTTGTTAATTGTAAGACTAAGAGTAAGAACGTTTTTGTTCTTTAGATCTTGTAAATTTGTTGTGTATAGCAGTTCAGCTTTGCATGTTAAGTTGCAGTCAGTAATACCAATCGAATTACCAATGAACACTCCACTTATTAATCTGTTTATTGTACCTGGAGTGAACCTGTTAATCACACACCAACCCATAAATAAGGCTCCCCGGATGTAGAAGAAAAATACTAAGTTAAGGAGGGTATGTCTTTACTGCAAACAAAATCAAGATGGTCACACACTCCTTCCAGCCCAGTGCTCAATGTTTCCGGTCCCTCTGCGTAAGTGATTAATATTAAGGTGGGATCGGGCATCAAGTTACTTTACGGTTTCTATACACATTGAAAATATATCCCACAAGCCACCCCCAGCTGCCATTACAATCGAGAAATCATTCAAACCTGTGTAAAACAGAATACTTTTCCAGGGCATTTCAAACCCAAATCAAGATGAAAATAATTATTAAATGTGATATTTACTGTTTATTTGCCATTTACTTAATTAGCATTGTGCTTGAAGCCATGACGCAAAATGAATTTCATGACTTTTCAATATATTCGCCGTCACCCCATAATAGCAATTCTGTCCAGCATTAAGGCTGAAAAAAATCAGTGAGTAGCTGATGGGGTTTGATCCATATTTAGAAGCAATGCTTAGGACAAAAATGAAAACCAGAAAGGTGAACAGACTCAAGAGCGACCAAACTAAAGAGAGCAACATTTTAATGAAATAAATGAAAAATCATGAAATAAAATGACACAGAGACAATATGAAGTCAAATTAAGTAAAAGATGACATCCTAAATGGAAAAGGCTGCAATCGAGCTGTCGGATGACCTGTCAGACACTGGAAGCTTTCAAAATATTGTCACGAGTGTGATGTGTGAACATGTTTCAGACGTTATGGTCGCAGCATAGGCATATGATAAATTTTATTACATGTTTATCAAGTATCATCAGAAGTAAAGCCATCTCTCACTCACACCTCTGCTTTTGTGTTCTGTGGCAACGACAAACATTCGTAACAGGGATTTATAAAAAGACAGCGATGCAGTTCATCACTATCATCACTTGGAGGACATTTCTTTATCAAGTTTTAAAGCAGACAGTAGTTGTTAATGCCCATTAAGATGCACGATATTGTCCTTTTACGTATTACCTCTATTTTAACAGCATCATAAGGCAGTGGTTTATACCCTTTATATATTCTATTTTTACTTAAGTTTGTCATATTTATTATTAAATAAAAATGTACAATGTAAAAATGGAGGGGGAGTTATATTTGGGAAATATTAATGATGTAACCAAGGAGGCCAAATTTGTTTGGGGAAAAAGTAAAGTCACTAAAGCATCGATAAGCATCTGACCGATACAGTTGGCAATGAAGCAGAACAGAAAATAAGTGAGAGGTTTAATTAAGATGCTATAGTGAGGTTCGGAGTCGCTGGGACGGAGGAGGGGGGCTTCGGGGGCGGGTCGTCCTCACTCCAGCTTCAGGAGTTCCACGTCGAATATGAGCGTGGCGTTGGGAGGGATGACCCCCGGGTGACCCGTGGCCCCGTAGGCCATGTCAGGCGTGCAGGTTATCTTCGCTCTTTGGCCCAGACTCATCTGTTCAGGAGGAGAGCAGAGCGGGGGAGCTGGCATGAGAGCTGAGATCACACAACTGAACACGCTCTGGCACCAACACCAGGAAATTATTCTCATATTCCCATCAGGAAATTTTCTTAATGGCATATATTTCATCTAATTCTTTTAAAATGAGCCTCTTAGGAGATAAAAAGGATGAACTGACAGTTTCGCCTGATCCAATAAGCATTGCCTTTGCTGATATTTATCCAGCTCAAATCCTATTTCTGTTACCTGCTGTTTGAAATTCCTCTGGCCCAAACACCGGTTCCGTTACCTGCTCTGTCTGACCCACTCGCCCCACTTCATGCTCTGCTTAAATTCACCCCAGCAGCACATGCAGCTGTTTACCTGTGCAACTCCTTCCTCCCAGCCCTTGATCACCTCCTGCTTGCCAATCTTGAACTTGAAGGGCTTATTTCTGTCCCTGGAGGAATCAAACTTTTTTCCATTCTGCAGCATGCCTAGAAAAACAAGGAATCACAGAAAAATTACAAGTTATTTATTCTCGGTTTTTAAAAGGTCCATTGGTCAGCTACAATGTAGTGGAGTAACAACACATAAAGTGTGATATTTGTGTTTGTGTGATTGTATTTTTTTGCTGAAGTTTTTTCCCTGTGAAAAGTGGTAAAGCTATACAATATTACAGCTTTATGTATACAGTATGTATAATCTACACACACATACAATCAGAAGCTAAAATCACGGTGATGTGTGTGATGCTTTAATGAACAGGAAAGCTGCTCAAAGAGCCACCTTTGGTGTTTCCTGTCCCGTCAGTTTTACACCGGATTTCACCCTGTTAGGTCAGAAACTGCTCGCAGAACTTTTAGTAGGGGAAAAGGATTTTTGATTTTGTAACCATCTGGCACTCACAAAAATATTGCCTCCGGTTAAGTATCTTCAGATAATATTTTTTTTCCCTGCCACATCATTAAATTCCTGGTGAGTCTAATATTTCATTTCATAGTTGTGCTGTATGTGCATGTTTCTTATCCGGGAGAGACAGGAGTGTCACACTTATATGCTGTGGAAATGTATGTTTTTCTTTTTAATACTCCAGTGTTTGGCTAGTCCTCCACCCCGTACTGTAATCGGTCTCTTAAGACTAGCAGGCGCAAATTTGAGACGCAGGAAATATCCACGAACGCGGCCGCGCCAAGCGAGCCCTATTTTTACCCCAGCATACTGTAGCACTCCCATCCAGTGGCCATGCTGCTAAATCATCCCTCTGACCTCACACGAAACTCAATCGGTTACGAACCCTGCTCACCCCCTACTCCTCCATCTACACCGACATTTACATACTCTTCTCAATTCAGTTATTAGGAATAACTTGTGTAATTATAGAGCTGGGACCAAAATTAGTCAGAGATTCCGTCTGCAGGACTCGGCCGAAAATAGCCACTGGCAGGGGAATCACCGGAGCCGGCAGTATCGGGAGAGCTGTGGATGGGGAAGCAGACAGCGATCGGCGATATGGACGCGCGTATGTGGAGCAGAGCCACGCAGTCTGGGTCAGCACCAGAAAAGCAAAAGGGCCTTTAGAGATAAGGCTGCATACTGATATGGTAATGGGGGGCGGGGGGGGAGAGTCTCTATCCCTGTAAAAACAGCACGGAGGGGAGGGCAACAGTATGAAGTCACCCGTACAGACTTCATTCAAAACATGATGGCTACATCATTCACATGTGTGGTGGGTAAAGAACGGGATCGTAATGTGCAAAGAGTAAGATATCATCACATTTTTAAACAGACTACTTAGAAATCAACCCTGCACTTACCTTTCAAAACATCTTTACATTTTACCTTAAATACAGACATAGGTGCCCAGTAAGGGCAGCTTCAATAGCAATACAAGAGCCACATGCACATTAAAGGCACAGCTCAGCTTTGGGGGGGGGTTTCTTCTTTCAATAATGACTTGAAATTTCAGTAACTGTTTGGACATGAAGAGTGAAAACGCCCAACAAGATTACTGCTGCCAGACAAAAACACTTCGCTTCACTCGGAGTTACTTTAAGGGCTATTATGGAAAAAGAAAGCATGCAGGACAAAAAGCACAGAGAGCCTGGGGAGAAGCCAGGGGTGGGAGCTCAGACAGGACATTAACACCAGTTAATAGGGCAAGGGGGGCCTGATATAGGAGTGGCTGCGCATCCGGCCCAGCTGCAGGATCACAGAGACGCTCCGGTTTGACTCATCAGCCCCCTTCTTGCTGAAACACACGTCTGCCGCACTCACTTTCGCTTCACGTTCACTTTCACAATGCTTTGCAGAAGTGGTTCCGCACCACCACGGTTTAAAATCTTCTCCTTTCGTCTTTCTGAGTTCACATCTTAGAGGCCAAAATGCAGAAAAAAAGAAGCAACTGGGTGTTTAGTTTAGTTTTTTTTTTTTGCATTTGAAGCGCTGACACGATCGCCGCATTAAGGAAAAGGGCACGAAAAATCACTGAGCTCTCAAAAAAAAGCCTTCTGCTTTAATTAGGCCTTTCATATGAGCTCATGGTTATTTTTGTCATGAGGTCAAGGCCGAATGAGAGAATGGGGTCGAGTCCACGTTCCAGCCTTCACAGCATGCATGTGAAAGCATATATACTGTATATTCTACGTAGGACTTCTATAGATGACCTGTACACTGACACGCTGCACATAAGAGAACCAAGTCTGATGGCAATTCTCCAGAAAAACCCATTTGGAAAGCTGTAGAAAACATGTATATCTCTGGACAATGTTAGCATCCAATTAATAGTTATATAATTACTGTCGTACCATGATATTGGCATTTTTCACACTAAGAGAAAAATCTTTAAGAATAAACAAAACAAAATCAAAACCTCTGAGACATTTCAATCAAAGCCACCAGTAAAGTTGACAAAGATATTCACTTAGTCAGGTTTTCCGTCCCTGGGCTCACAACTGAAGAGACCCCACCCAGGACAAAAAGGGGGGAAATGAGCGTGACGGGCTGCCAGTCCCTCAGAAGCACCGACATCTTCATCTGTAAACTGAGGGGAGGCGTGTCTGACTTCCTCTGACCGGTGGCTCAGTGCCGAGCTCAGAAATTCACACAAACCCTGAACAAAACGCAGGCGACACCCACGGCTCAGCAGGGGAGCAAACAAACTTGCACGGTCACACATAAAGGCCTCTAGACCAGCAATCAGCAACCCCAGGTCACTTACAAGAAATAAACATTGCAGTGAAGTTAGGGGCTGGAATTCGGAGGGACAATATACCACTGCGATTGCAGTTTTTAAAAATAAATAAAAAATAATAATAATAAAAAAAGTGGGACAGGGTGATACTACACATTGCAATTTAAATCAACCATATTTTATTTCAGCCTTTTCACATTTTCATTACATGTATATTTGTATTCTGTGTCCCTTTGGTTTTCTGCCGTCTAATTGTTTTACATGTTACTGACTGGATGGTGTCACTAAAATTTTCCTATGTACAAAAGGCATGTAAAGAATTTAAGAACATAAATAAATAAAATTTAAAAAATGACAAAAGTAAGTTTATTAGATCGAGTTTTTTTTGTTACCTATGTAGTGCACCACGCATGTCTGGCCCTTCTTCGGGAATGTCCTCCCTGCAATGAAAACAGAAACGCGGCCAGCGTTAGTCACATGACTCGATGGCCGCCTTCGGCCCCCCGTGGCTGTGAGCTCCTGGGTATGGTGCTGATGATGTTCACACAGACGCTCTCGGCCGTCGGCTTCAAGGACGGCGTCGGCATGCATTTCCAGGCGGTGTTAAAGCGCCGCTCTCTGGCGTCTGGAGGTTTAAACATCTAGGACTGTGTCCTGGCCTGAAACTCCCACGAATCCCTCTGATACGCCACCGTCCCTCTTAGAAGTATTTTTAGCTAGTTCAGCAAAACTGCCACCTAAATATCTGTCCTAATTTGATCGGAGGCCTCTTTTTTTTCCCCTTTTAACCATGACCCGTGCACGCACAGCGCCATTCCATCCTTAATATTAACATGAAAGGGCTCAAAAGTGTGGAAGCGGACAAATCTCACATGCATCACCTTAACATTATTACTGCATTATTATTGCATATGTAGCAGAGCCATGCAGTCTGGATCTGCATACTAATATGGTAATTGGGGGGGTAAAAACAGCACGGAGGGGAGGGAAACAGTATGAAAAGTCACCCGTACAGACTTCATTTAAAACATGATGGCTACATCATTTTTGTGTGTGGGTTAAAAAAAATAGATAAATAAATACTATATATTCAGGGGGGCTGTGGGGGAGGGTTGGTTAGGTCGATTCCAAAAAAATTTGGACCGTAATTGGACTGGTCTGCGATGGGGGCCCAGTACGACATCCTTTCACGGGGCCCAAAATCACTAGTGCCCCGCCTTTATATATCATTACAAGCTTTAAAAGCAGAGGAGAGATGAGTCCAAACCTTCATAAACCACACGTCAAGAAAACCTGAAGATAAGTAAACATGTCATATCTAATCAAAACTGTATGCAAACCAGTTCTACAAAAGTCCTGTACAGAGAGGAAGTCTATGAAACTGAGCTATGTCGTCACCATGGGAATCAGCAGGCCCATTCTGGACCAGAGGTTTAAGCACTAGATTCTGAATGTGACCGGTTGCCTGGCAACGAGCATGCTGTCAATATGAACTGTCTTTCTGTCCATGTTAGAGTACCGTGTCCCGCCTTGAGTTAGCGAGGACAGCAAAACTTACTTCCTCTCAGTGTCCATTTTCTGTTTAATAATTGATTTGTTTTTTCCTTCCAACACTTAAGACCTTGTCGTTGAACTCCCTTCTTTCCTTCCTGCATTTTCACTACTCACCAGTACCTGCCACACATACTATTATTCTGACATTATATTATACTAATCATTTTGATATCCTGCTAAAATTCTGCGTATTGCATTATACATTTCCATTTAGCTGATTCTGAAAACTTTTTTTCAGAAACTGTGCCAATTAGGGTTGCAAAATTGAATTTTATCGCTAAACTCCTACACATTCCCGCAAATTCCTATAAGTTTAGAACTAGGAATATTTCCAAAATTCCCCATCTTAACTTTCCATTCAGTTTCTGGATATTTTCCACCCCTTTGCAACCCTAAAGCCAATGCAGGGCCCAGGAAAAATCAGGGTTAAAAATAAAATCCGTGGCCAACCATTAGACGCAATTCCAGCTCTACAGTGCTCCAGCGTTCTACGATACTCAGCATGCACTGACATTTGGGCCGGCTGTGTGTCAGCTGCGAATGTAAATCCCATGATAAGAGCGTGTGTGCCTGGATAGGGCGTAAGAACAAACTCCAGAAACAACACAAGTGTCTGAACCGCAGTGAGGACAGCGTAGGACACTGGAGAATGCAGGAATTTACTCAAACACACACTGGAGATTCACACAATGACAGTGATGTGCCAAAATACACAATTTAAGGTTAACGCCTGAATCAATTTGCAACCTTTTTGACGATTACAATTTTTATTCTCTTTATTACGATTCCCCACCGTTTTTTCTTCATAATCTGATTCCTGTTACTCCTCGATTACCCGCTAAATATTTTCCCGTGCGCTCAGCCATAAAAGCCACATACTGTCAAGACACTTCTGCCATTTTTCCTTTGCCTGAGCCTTTCCGTGTCACTCCCAGTTAGCAGGGAAATCTTCAAGGCTGGTGAGGACAACAGCCGCATTAAGTTAGCATCACATATACATACATGCATCGGCCTGCGACACGGAAGCGAAAACACGACGACCCAGAAGCATTTGGGATCCCAAATCCAGGGCCTACAGCCACATATATTAAACATGTATTCCACAGCCTGCTTTTATGAACAGCTCCAACCAATCTCAGCTTTAGTAGACAATAATGAGAAACATCTCGTGTATTTCGATATTTGTGAGCCATAGCCCCATGCCCAGAATAAGGCCAGGTGGTAAAGAGCAATAATCACAGTAAAAACTATTCAGAAATCTACAGTAATGCCAATATAGTACGCTAATCTGTTTTATATGATATTATATAGACTAACAGCAGCCCATGTTCTGTTCGTTTTTTAATGGTTCAAGGACAATATTCATACTAGGCACATCTCTGAAACTGTCTAACAATTCAAGCAGTGACGATATAACGATCCCAATGGCCCTTAAGAGAACAGCGATCAGGCCCCTGATCACTGCTACAGGGCAAATCCAGGGAAATATCGTAAGACATTGTGCCACAGTACATGTGCATAGCATATGCTATGGCACTGGTACCGTAACAAGTTATATTTTTAAATCAGATAGCAGTAATCAATCACAAGCAGCCTATATCGATGTAGCGAAGACAAACTAGGACTGTATCTGAATCTCACAAGCGACGACTGATGCATCGGTAGAAATGTGGACCCTGCCCCCCCCACTGTAAAAATAGCTGACTTGGCCACGGCGCAAGTGTCTGCCATGATCAGGAAACATATGGATTGAAATCTCATTACCAAGTGAGGAAAAATAATCCTGCTACACTCAAACTAACACAATGCAGTCCTTTGCCGTAACAGACCCCCCGCCAAAGTCCATTAAATTACACACCAAATTACACCACTCGGTGTTTATTATACAATGTCTAAAGCAATTTACACGCGTATTATATCATCTTGCTTGTCTGTTTCTTTTTTCCCCCACACACATTTAAAGATAGGCTTTACTTACTGTGCCAGGAACGTAATGTAAATCAAATGTTGTTGCAAATACCGTTTCAGTGTTCAGCTAGCAAAAATACTTATACGGGGAGCCCCTGCGCCACCACAGTCCACCGATGGACAGCAAAACGTAAAAAAAAATAATCTGGATTAATACGGTGATTACTGATAAACAAACAAACAATTACAATCAAAACAATAGAAACTTTGAGTAAATAATCATCAAATTACATAATCACTTTGGATCAATTAAGCATATATACAGGAAGCCTTCATTTGATGACAAATCAATATGCTAATTAATGAAATATTAAAAATACCGGGTATAATGCTGTGCGAAGGCTTGAAATGGGAAAGCAGTGGTAAAATAACCAGCGGCGCAAATACTTGGTTAACTAGCTGTCAAATGGATGTAAAAACGCAGCTTCGCCTTGTAGGCGGACGGGCAGCCGCGCTGCTTTAATAACCGCAATTAACCAAATAACCAGCGCTCATTTACTAAATAAACGACACACGGGCACTTTTTATCGCGCAGATGTTTCCACTCACATCAGCATTTTCAGGGACGTCGTTACATTTACATTTAAAAAGAGCGAAAACAATAATAATCGCCGGCTGCTGTTTCTCACCGTCTCCCGGAGCTACCGTCTCGATTTCCACACCCATCCCTGCACCGCGGAGCTTCGGAAGAAATTAACGTTAAAAAATGTTACTAAATGTTACAAATGTTACAAATGTTACTAAATGTTGCGGCGGTCGGGGCCACAGTATCCGGCCAGCTCCCGGCGGCAGGGCAGCCTGAGCCACACACGCCAGACGCTTTGAGTGTATGAGCCGCCCCCTAGCGGTGGGACTGGCCTCCCATGGGCGCCACTGTGCACGCTTGCGCCGGGGACCCGCCATGATGCTGCGTCTAGAACAATCTACAGTGTTCTAGTGCAATGCAATGCATACGCTGTCCCCACTGCATGCGGAGCCCCACATCGGGTAGACGCGTAGTGGTGGGTATACGCAGGTAAAGGGAGTATACTACCCACCTGAAATGGTCAGAAATGCTTATTAGGCAAAGGAGAGGTGCGTATGCAATTCTACGGTGTAACAGTATCCCCACCTGCAAAGGCACCACTACACCACCGAAACTGTGCTGTTTACACATCTCTGCGCCTTTTAAAAAAAGAATTAATGTGTGAATCCTTCTGAAGTTACGTCTTCGTTATGTCTTGGGTAAATTATGTGCAACCGTCCTTGGATGGAGAAAAAGGAAAAATATACAGCATACCGATAATGGAAATGTGTGCGTCGCCTCTCGGCTTTTAACCTCTCTTCGTTTGGATTAACCGCTTAGTCCATGCGTGCTATATGAAAGGATCTTTGGACATTTAAACCAGGCAGTTTTGGCCGTTGCCCAGTACTCCCGAATTACGAGGAAGTGAAATGATAATCAGTTTTCTTGGTAGGGGGCCTCCCATGTACAGCTTTGCCTAGGGCCCTTGATAAGGAAGAGCCGGCCCTGATTAAAACGTAGACAAAAACGCCCCAAACCAAACTTTGGCATCTGTTCTTTATGAATGTAGGACTGGTCATCCATATAGCTGACTTCATAGACTCAGAGTTCGACTTTTGATAAAACACACATGATAAAAACGTGGATGTCTACACACTGAGGGAATACCACTCCTGAACGAAGAATATGGAACGACATGAGGTGGAGGTGCCACCATGGTGGATGGTGGCACCTCCACATTCCAAACACGTTATTGGAAACGTGGACGTCTATTGAGCATCCTGTGCCCCTTAGTCATGATACTGTCTGGAGTCACGCTCCTTATATTACTTATTAAACGAACATCATCTCGCTATTACGTCTCAAAGTGTTTATATTTAATACTGTGGATGACAGGGAGGATAGAGTATAAAGAAATCGATATCAAATATGTAAAAACGCGATTATGATGAAACGAGAGACCCGAATAATTGGTGTTACAAAAGTCCTCCAAAATGAGAGGAATGGAAAGGCGGCGTATCAAATTACATTATTATTAAATTGAAACATCTGGAAATACCAGCGCCGTAGCTGTATACAGCGCTTTATAAATCAAAGTAATTCACAATAAAGGGTATACAGTGCAGTAGCTCCCTCCGGTGTCCGGTCATGAAATAATCATTAAGTTTAAAAAAACTACGTTTCCCACATTATGGAAGAAAGCGTCATTTCCGGTCTTTAGTTTGTCAAACGCACAAGGCGATCCGGCGTGGGTCGAATGGCTACTGATACGAGATTGCACGAAGTACAAAATTCGGGTGAGAAGTGTATTCTTTTAATCATAAATTCGAATTTATAAGTAATGACTGAAACTGTTACACGCAGCACTTTAGGAGCTGGTGTCCAGTGGGACCAGCGCATGCTAGCAGTCCGTAATCATCCTTAAAAGATGTGTTACTGCGCAGATGGGCTACTTACCCAGCCGGGGCAATGAATGGTGATTTTGGAATACCCTATGGACTATATGCCTCAGGATAAGGCTTATGGAGTGTTTTGAATTGTATGGACACCACTTAGAAATAAAAGCGGTATCTTAAGTCTAAAATACGCGCACGTGTATTGTTAGGTCAGTTAAGTGTAATCTGCTAAAATCACTGCAATGGCTTGAACGTCTCCATAGGATTAAGGACTAAACATCGCAAGACGCAGAGTAAAGAGGCTTTGCTTTTTCATAGCGCGGGGAAGACTGGCCTCTGTGATCACCGTAGGGACAAGTTAGTGAGATTCAACTGCCGCTGATTTGATTAAACCCATATTTGATGCGTGAGGCTCCTTCCATAGGATGGACTTAGGAAAGGTGAAACTCCTGAGGACAGGTCTGAACTCTCTCCATCAAGCCATTCATCCGGTGCATGGAATAGCCTGGACTGATGGCAGGCAGATTAGCCTTACTTCTTTTTGTTTTGCCGACGGGCAGGCCAAGTTCGGCGACACCAATGTCATCGGGCAGTTCGAGCACGTGCAGGGGCTGTACTGGGGGGCGCTCTGCTGCTCGGGGACGCCCGCCCTCCTGGCCATTCAGCACAAGAAGCATGTTAGCGTGTGGCAGCTACAGCTCAGCTCGCTGGAGCAGAACAAGCTGCTGTGCATGCAGACCTGTGAGCTAAGTGAGCCGCTCCCCCTGCTCCCCCAGGGCTGCGTGTGGCACCCAAAGATGGATGTCCTGGCTGTACTCACCAAGCGGGATGCCTCTGTCCTGTTCTCAGTGAGGGTGGACAACAGGAGGGTGAAGGCGCCCATCAAGGAGGGTGGCCTTATCCGCTGTGCTTGCTGGACCAAGGACGGTACGCAGCTGGTGGTTGCGATTGGAAGCGCTCTGCACTCCTACATATGGAATGACATCGAGAAGACCCTCTTCGCCTGCTCGTTCTGTCCTGTCTTCGACGTGGGTGGTAGCATCTGTGCCATAGAGTCTACTGAAGGCCAGCAGGTTGCTGTTACCACCGAGCTCCCATTGGACAAAATCTGCAGCCTTAACGCTGGTATGGCATTCGATGTCCCCCCTGAGGCGGAGTCCCCACCCACCTTCTCTCCCATCCTTGTGCTGAGTGACGACTCCAGTTCTGACTCTCGGAGGAGGTCAGTGGACTTGGAGAAGCTGGGTCGCATCTCCTTGCCATCTTCTGGACCGATCGACTTGACAAACCTTCTCTCAAGGCACAGGAATTCAGAGCCAAGTCCCCTCATTCACTTGAGACGCAGGGACCACTTAACGGGGTCTGGCCAGGACTTGTCCCATTTAATTCTGGTGAGGTATGAGCAAAAGGCAACCACAACCCGGAAAGTGAGTATCCCAGGGATCTTGGTCCCGGATATCATCGCATTTGACAGGCGCGGCTGCACCGTGGCTGTGGCCTCCAACACATGCAATATAGTGCTGGTGTACTGCGTCACTCCTTCTTCCATTCCCAACATCCAGCAAGTTCAGTTGGAGAAGCACGACAGACTCAAAGGCGTGTGTTTCCTCGACGACAACACGCTGTTGGTCATGGTAGGAAATCCAAAGTCCAACGATTCTACTTTCTTACCATCTTCAAATACGGACAAGTACAACATCCGACTCATGATTAGAGAGCTTGTCAATGAAGAGAGTGGCAGCTTAGCGAGTCCCAGTCAGGATTCGAGTGCATGCTTGCCTGGGGTCAGAAGGTTCTCTGAGAGCTTTCCTAAGGAGGCGCATGCAGGCTTGACGGATCTTGTGTTGCCTGCTGGGTATGCGATCCAGCCACCCAAAAACCGGAAAAAGCTGGTCGAGGAGGTGAAGAGCACTGACTGGAACCCGCTGACGAGTCTGACTGACTTTTCGGACCGAGTGACCTCCAACATGTCGTCCCTCAACATAGAGGACTTTAACGTGGATATTGCCCACCGGCTGGCTGGCCAGAACTGCAGGGAGTCTGGGCGGCCATGCTCACCCAGGTTCAAAACCCTGGAGAAGCTGAACTCTCATCTCATTCCACCCAATAGTGGTGGCCCGATAAGGGAGAGGCCAGCCGAGCAGCTCAAGTGGAACATAGAGAGCATATCTTCTAAGTTTGACGAAGTACAGCAGTGCTTGTTGGAAATTCAGGATCTTACCCGGAATGAGAAGAAGCTGGTGGGGGCCTACCCTTCTGCACTGGAGCCCCCATTCATCAGTGTCACCTTTCAGGTACCTTCATAAAAGTATAGCGATTAGTATGTGACAGGTCCATCTTGGGTCCAGCTGAGAACAGAAGGGTGGGACCAGGCTTTGGTGAGGCCAACGGAGCCTGTCAAAGGTCATCTGCTTTCAGCCTGAATCGGCTTGCCTGCAATAAACACAGAGGATATAACCAGCTCAGTACATTAGGAGTCTTTACCCAAGTAAATGTCATGAGTTCATATCCCGTGACCAGATAGGTAATATCAGCATGCATCCCATTAGCAAGACCTTTAACTTGATCCAGGGACACTGGCTAACCCTGTTGTGATCTCCAGGACAGTTTCTGGTGCTAAAAAAAAGAAACAAAAGAATTTTCTAAATTATTATCAGTCTTCATTCGGTTGTCCACAGCCGTGTTGCATAAACATTTCAAGCAATAGACCCTATTAAAAATAGTTGAAACAAAACCGCGTCATATAGAATTTCAGCTAAAATAGCATTAATCAGTCGCATAATTATGCGGAGTACCAATCAGTAACAACAACGCAGCGATTCTTGAATAAAAATACTCGTACTTAGGACCAGTTTAACATAGAAAGGTTTCATTACATATATGCCTCTATCGGTGCCTCTGCACCAATTCACATGGGTCTGTCAGGTCACATGCAAAAGCAGTTACATTAAGCCTTATTGATGACATGTTTATACTGAACTAAGAATTATAGTTCCTGTAGACCAGGCCTGCAGGTCTTTACGTTTTTTTTATTTTTATTTTAATGTGCCTGTTACTGCCACTTATTTCCTTTTGAGTGGTTCAGCAATCCTGGCAGCACCTGTCAGAGTAGAGAGATCATGGCTAGTCTTGACTCTAACTGCCTGCAGCTTACGGAGGTTAAACCACTGTCCCCCTTTCTGTGCCTTCTGGAGTCAGCCAATTGGATGAAATACTGAGGTTGTGTGGCTTAGCGGATTAGGACCCTGCGCCCATGGTCGGAAGGTCGTCGGTTCGAATACCTTGGTTGGCAGACTGATTTCACCATTGGGCCCTTGAGACCGTTTACCCCTTAGTCGTTCCAGGAGCCTTTGAATAAAAGCATCTGCTAAATGAATAAAATGTAAAATGCGATCAGGCTTTCAGTGTGAAATTGTATGGTCTAAAATTGCTCTGACTTTTCCCATTTTCCTCTCCCAAAAACACGCTGGCACCTTTCTTCACATATACCCAGTTCCATTTTCGGACTTGTTCATGCCTCTTCTCCAGCGGAAGGCAGTGAGTTGTTTCCTTGTTCTGCCCCTGCAGAAGCAGCTTACGGAGGACGTCTTTGTTGACGAGAAGAGGCAGGTGCTGCTCTGTGATGGAAAGCTCAGCCTGCGCGTCCTCCAGGACCTGTTCAGCTTGACCGTGGTGGAGATGATGAACGGTAACCCTGTGTTTGGCATTACCCCAAGGGCTTTGTATGCATCATAGGTATCAGTGTCATTGAACTTGAAAGCATTATAATGTCCTCATTTCTAGGTCCTCACAGGTCCAGACAGAGTACTTTAAGAGCTCAATATGAATATGGCTGATCTCTGTGGTCTAAACTGTCCGAAACATGCCAGACTGGGTTTTATTGAACCGTGGCTCTCATTTTTGTATCATCTGAAAGTCCTAGTTGAATGACAAATCCTACAGCACAACTGGATTTCTGCGAGTTTGAGCTTTCAGAGTCTATGTACGCCTTAGTCGCAAGTTGCTTGCACTGGTTTATGCCACAAATCACTACAAAATTTGATTCTGAGACAAACACTGGACATGACGGGAAGAGCCGTCAATCATCTAGTGCAGAAATGCTGGCGGCTGACATAGAACTGTAGATGTTACGTTGTGTTCCATTTACCTTGGAGGTCGGAAGTTGGGGCTGGGAATGACGTTACACGCAAATTAACTGCGTTCCAGTATAAAAAGTCGGAAAGCCATTTAGCAATACCGCTTCTAGCCAGGTTCATCATTAACCATTGTTAGCAATATCAGATGGTAACACATTATGTAGTATTTTGCGCATACAAACACTGTAGCAGCATGTCCATAGATAGAGGTTGGACAGCACTGTGTGTATGACTGATTTAATGAGACACAAATAAAACACAAGTGCTAATATACAGTATATAACGACAGCTTTCAGTTCTATTGATGAAGGGTGCAGCCGTCTTAATTTCTGCGGTTGGGGCTGCAGAGCTTCTTCCGTCTTTCTGAGTCAAAACTCCGACTTCAGGGGGCGTTCCAGTTGACATTTCACTCGGAACTCGGAAATTCCGACTTCCCAGCCAAAATGGAAGGCACCATTAGTATTGTTGATTGGCTGGTGGTGGTAAAACCGGATGAATCGAAGGCAGTTGCGCTGTGTCTGTGTGGTGAACTTCAGAGATCCTCTACAGCCGCGAAGCACTGCTTGGCACTGAATGTGGAAGGTAAAAAATAGGAGGGCATTACGGTGGAAGATGGGCTTTAAAGATTCACACTGAAAGCAGCTTGTGATGCTATTTATAAGGATCCTCGCTGGATAAAGGTGGTCAGCTCCACAGGAGACTACTAAACCAATCAGGCAGAGCAGGACACACAGGGAATCCCAGAGAGACACACAGATATTAAGGAAAAATAGGAAATGTAAGGGGGACACATTTTAAACACGAAATTTGATGTGAACCTTTTTTGACATTTTTTATCTTAACCATACTAAATAATTTGAATATTACTCAGATGCGTGCAGTAAAGAAATCATTGTTGACCATATAATTTGCTAATTTTTTAGGTAATTCATGGATCGTGCTTGTGGCAGACGCTTATGGGTTTGTGCCTCTCACCTTCAAGCCCAAAGACAAACTCACTGTGCGCAACGGAAAGCCTAAATCACCAGCTGAGCTGCCCTGCAGCGTCGAAGGGCCCCGCTCAGGGAATCCATGTGGCTCATCGCTGGACGTTTGAGTGCAGTAAAGCGTGGGTCTCTAGAGCCGGACCTGCTTACTTTATGCTTCAACTGAAGGTTTGTAAATTCACTGAGTCTGTTACACTGATCTTTAGCAACCTTCAGTTTGAGAAGGTTTTCGTTACAGAAAGGAAGCTTCCTTCATTTAAACATCTGTACGAAGAATTTTGCATCTGTTACAAGAAATCCCTGCTTTGGTGACAAAACAGTGGCATTGTTTTATACTATATTAAAATTTATTTGAGATATATATTTTAAAGACATTGTATAGTTTATTTTTGGAAATGCTTTTGACTAGGTATATGTTTAAGTTTTGATGATTTGTCTTTTTCTGTTTAATTTTTTGAAGATCATATTTTATATGGAAAAAAGCTTGACAGCCTGTATCATGGAAATACCATCCAGAGCCATTCAGTAATTTGAATATACATGTAGATATATTTTTTAAAATAAAGTCTGCATAGTATAATAAAAGCTGGATATTAAAACCGATGTATGTAGCTGTAGTATAAGTCACCATACTGACCTTTTTATGTGACACGTCTGTGTTCTGTTGCATTATGGGGCGGATGTGGCTCACTGGGTTGGTGCCAGTCATTGGGGATCACCCAGTATCCCGTCCACATGCCCGTTGGGCCCTAGACCAGGACTCGTAACTCCCTGAAAAATGCTGCAGAGGTGCTGGACGGTCGCCTACCTCCACATTCACACCCTGAGCCTCCCTCCTCGTGCGTGTGTCTGTTCAAAGGAGAGCATGATGGGATATGTGTGAAAACTAGAGGATTCCAGTCCGTCTGCATTCATACTTGTGGAAATGGAAAATAAAAAGCATGATTTTGTTTCACTTAATATATTGAAATGCAAGGGCACTCATATTAAACATCCTTCATGTGTGTTGCTATAAAGTTCAACAATCCAGTATTTAATTCCAAATTTCTTTACTGAATAATTAGCGTAGCTGCTCTGACCTTGTTTAAAATTACCGTTAAAGTTGGTGAGATCCTCACATTTCAGCAGGTGTAAACATATACAAAATCTATATAAAAATGCCAGCAATTATATTCTACTGCTTCTCACTGGAATGGCTTGTAGTAGCGGGCAGTTGTTATATTTATCTTATAGCTTTGATACATTTAAAGGTTAAACATCCCGCCGCAGAGCCACAAACTCCCACCTTGGGACGTCTTGGTTATGTGTCCGCATACAAACTCACCTGCAGTCCAAGTTCTAAAGTACTCAGAGGGGATATGTGCAGGTTACTCTGGTTCAACTGCTGATTCATGTCATGTTCTGTCAAGATTAATGTTACTTTGTCACCTGATGGTGGCAGCATTTCATTGTGAAATTTCTCTTTTCATTCGTACTTGTACCTTTTTCAAGGTAAAAGGTGAACTCCTTTGTTTCTATATGTCTGTGTGTTTCTGTGCAGTTTTAGGTTCACTTTATGGTTGCGGTTCTATGTGTGTAGTTTCCGTCTGTATGTTGAAAAACGAACCTGCCCTCTTGCTGTTGCCTGTGCTCCCCCATCTGGCATTTCTGTTTAAGGTGCCCCCCCCTCACCTACTGGGATACGTTCCAGCCCAAGCAGGACAGACACCGGGCAAGAGCTTATAGAAAATAGACAGATGGACAATAAACTCAATCTCAGGTTGATACTCAAACAGCATTTATTGATCATTAAATATATTCACTGTTACTAATAAATAATCGTGTTTATAATCCAGTAATACATTTTATTTTGAGGAAAAATATACATTAAATACATTATTTGTGTGTATATATTTATATATATATATATTATGTATATGGATTTAAGTTACAAGTGTACATGAAATCACAACCGAAACGAATATAACATACAATGTCAAGTTTACACAGTGTAATATACACTAATAATGCTCCATCCAGTCGATCTGGAAGATGGTTGCAATGTTACAGGTGATGGCTTCCCAGGTGGTTCAGATCTTCTGTCTGAATTCTCGAGCTGAGGCTCTGTTTTCTGTGAAAGAAACCAAGGAAAGATGTTTTTCCCCTGTTTTTGAAAAGGTACCTGCATTCCAACTGATCTGACAGTCATTTCAGCTGAAGGGAGATTTTGAATCAGACGTCCTTTCCGGTCTATACTTTATTATACTTTATTCTCCCAGATTTTTCAAAACGTTTAATTTTTGAACTATCACTGTTTGGAGCACCATGCTGCAGTTCTGGGGGAGGGGACAGGTGCATGGGGCAGACACAGGAAACTGCAGCGCAAGAACCAACGCATATTAAGGTTCTCTTAAAATTGTACTAGATAAATCTTTATGGACAGAGTTTAATTTTAACTGTAATCAGGTCCAGAAAGTACAAATCCGGACCGAAATATTGTTTCAGCCAAGCAGTTGAGTACTCTGTGACTGTGACTCTTTATACTCAACCGGCTGGTTGGCACAAAATCTTGGTCCGGATTTGTACTTTCTGGACCAGAACTTTCCACCTCTGATTATGACTATTTAATTGAATCAGTGAATGTGAAGGTAACATTATAGTGGTCATATAAGCTCACCTGAGCTCGGCGAGAGCGAACTTGTTCCTAAGCCGCACTTTCTCGTTGATCGGGTAGAGGAGGAGAAGCACCAGCCCCATGATAATGAAGGCGACAGGTGCCATCCCAATCAGCAACTTTAGTGTGTAGGCCACCAGGGGGTGCTGTTGACACACTCTGGGCAAATATCCCGCAAACCTGCAACCAAACAAAATCCGGGCTCAGCTACCCATCCATGAGATCAGGATTACAGGAGGGCCTAGAGCCTATCGCAGATAGCACAGGGCACGAGGCTTGGATGCCAGTCCACTGCAGGGCACATAAATTCACGTTGGTTTTTTTTGTCAGGACCCCCCCCCCTACTTTTCTCCCCACAGTCCAATTAGCATATTATTGATATTACACCATTTTAAATATTCTCTAGTTTCTATTTTGGCCACAAAAGCCCCTGCCCCTGGCCACCCAAATCAAAATTTTCTCCAGCTGCCATGGGGACTGGATGCGAACACACAAAGTGGAAGTGGGATTTAAACCCCAACCCGGGGGGGGTGAGGCAGCAATGTTACCCACTGGCAGTTGTGCCTCCTTCAGCAGGTGCCATCCTTCAATACCTCCATGTAATTTGTTAGCATGAAATATCTGCCGTATTTTTTGCAATTATATCAATGTCTACAGATGTGCTTTGCTGCCTTAGTGGCAGGGCTAAAAAGCACTATTTAATCGACCAGCGAACTGTCTGTCATTCTTGCGATTGAGATTGTTTATTAGTAATTTCTGCTCAGTCGGGACATTGAGTCATCTTTCATTCTATACGCATAATCTGCGAATCGCACAGACTGACTGAGGTGTCTGTCACAGATCCCGTGAGTAGCTGTCGCTGATTCACTGTGCAGCACCTTGCTTCACATCATATGTTTTCCTGACTCACCAGCTGCTACTGCACACAAATATTACATGTCAATAAAACTAGAGATTATACTGGCAGTTAAGTTTGGTCAGTGCATCCCTGATGTCGAAGCAACAGGATTAGTCGGCTTAATATGCTTTTGCTCCATTGTGAAACTGGGGCTGTTTCTGATGGTGTACAAATAGTGATGTCATGGTGGGTGGGGCTTGATGGGTCTGCCAATCGGGTTACCTGAAGTTCCCCTCTCATTGGTTACCTAATTGGTTCCATTTGGGCTAGTCACTGTACATACTCTCATATAGCTACTCACTATAACTTTTCAAGTATCATCTCTTTCATCATTCATAAATATTAAATCACTGTTTTTGTTGGATGACCGTGCCTATTAAGGTGCTATATAAGCTAAAACAAACAAAATCCCAGCCTCTGGGTTACAGGAAGCATTTAGCATTTAGACATAAACGGAAACAGTTCTTTACTTCGCAGCCACAGATCTACTCACTCGAGACATAGCGTAGAGACTCCGAGTGAAATTCCTGCAGCAAACTTGGTGAAGAAAACATAGAAGGAGTAGAAAATGGCCTCGTGCCCCTTGGAGAAGGGATTCATCAGCCTGAAGTCATCAACCACATCTGGTAGCATTGACCTAGGTCACAGGGAAAAAAATGACATGGTAATTTCTGATAAAACACAATAAGTGCTGTGGTTTTTTTAAGATCTATATCATGGCGTCCCAAAATAGCACAGCATGAGAATATTAAATCTATAGATTTATGAGGATGTAATCTATCCATAATTACAAATCACTAAATTAGTATATATATACGTACCCAAAATAGCTACTTTGACTGGAAGAATGCCTTTCATTAAAACAGAGGCTTGTAGTTGGTTATAAACGTAAAAATAGCACAATTAAAGCGGAGGTAAGCGCTTAAACCTGACTAATGGCTGTAATTGCGTTCATGGGGGAAGCCGGAGTACCATGTGACTCGGTCATCCACCGTGCTCTGGCAGGGCGCCGGTGTTTAAATGTGGCCAAGCCGAACGGCACTCACCATGGCAACAGCAAGGATGCGGCCACGCTGAGGCCAGACGAGACGGCGACCACGTAGGCCACGGTGAGGTGGGGGGTAAGGACCAGCAAGATGATGAAGGGGATGATGGACTGTATGGGACAGATACGGGGACAGCCATGAGCAAAAGCCTGGAAGGGAGAGTGCCAATGGAGAAGCTCTCCCCCGAGAGTCCAACAGGGACAATGTCCCTCCACCCATCCATCCATCCATCCATCCATCCATTTATTCACTTGAGAAAACAATTAACCATGAACATTTCAGAAATATAAATATATTCAATAGGAAGCTCATTTCAGTATCACATTGACGCTATTTTCTTGATAAAAGAATGATTTATTGCGTTGATAACTGTGTGGCCCATTGAAGGCCTGTTAACTTATAACTGTGATGTTTGATTAGAAGCTTCCTGGAATATGCATATGGAATATGTTACCAGGATGTTAAAGCAATCAGCCAGGAAGGAAACAGTCTTTTTAAAATTACCGTCTTAAATGACTTAAATAAAAGTAAACCTAAAAAGATGAACATTTACTTTGGAGTTTGGAGTTTGTTTATAATTAGTTTAATAAAAACTGGCTGAAGTCGCTATAAAAGGCATGTGAGAATGCAGGGATAAGCGCATACAGCTGCCGGCTGAATGGCAGAGCGCCGTCAGCCAGGCCGTCCCCAGCGCGCCCGTCCCCAGCGCGCCTGTCCGCAGTGCGCCCGTCCCGAGTGCGGCCGTCCCAAGCGCGGCCGCTCTGTGACTCTCTGACGGCAATGTCACCCCGGCTCCTCACTGTCTACTCTGACACACTTCAAAGCCCAGAGGCGCCTTTGATTCCCGCCTGATCTCGTGAGATTACAGATCCTCCTCTATATCAAAACCAGGCCCTCCCATGGAAGGGGGTAGTTTCTGCCTTTACTGGGGGCCGACCGCAAGGCAGAGGGCAGGAGGGGGGGACACTTACCGAGATGCCGCAGTAAGCGGCTGTCTTCTTCCCGAACCTCTGGAGAAACCACTGCCAAAAGGGGATGCTGATGGCCGCCGACAGCTGGAAGACAGAGAGGAGCCTCTGATGATCGTTCCTTGTTGCCATGGACATTTGCCTCAGTCGCCGCGGCGACACGCCGCTGTCATGATGTAAATAACATGCCGACCGCTTCCCATACTTTAGCACAATACGTCTGTAACATATGTCTTCTACATCCTCGTCCAAACCAAGCCCGGTTTTTGTAGAGGAACTGGATGACTAGTGTTTGACGAGGACATGGGTTACATAACACATATCACCCAAAAATATAAATCATAAAACGTATAAATAGATTATGCATTCAGTATGGTTCATATTTCATAACATTCTCTCGTGTATGCGTAAATGAATCAGTACGTACCAGGATCGTTAACACGATGTTCTGGAAGTGATCTCTTAAATCAGCAGCATACATACAGAACAGGATGAAATTGCTCTGGACCAGCTGTGAAAAACACATTGAGGATGCAGGAAATCAGAATGATGCATAGTTTCAGTCACGCTACAGCGCAGAGTATCTTTACATTTATTTAACAGACACTTAAGTCCAAAGTGAGGAATGTCTGAGCTCAGAGATCATCATCAGTGGAGCTGATGGGCGTAAGGACCTTCCTCAAGGGCCCAAAAATGATGCGATTACTCTGCCAGGCATAGGATTTGAACCTGCAACCTTCTGAATATAGGTTCACATTCCGACCGAGCTACACACTGTAATGGTGTGTTGTTCCAATAATGAGTCACAAAGTAGCAAAAGACAACTAAACGGTAAAAAACGTATAATGGTCAGTGGTATCTTCTATGGAAGTTCCATGAAAGCATGTAGAAAATCCATCAAGATATGCAGCCTAGCTGCTGAGAGCACCAGCCCGTCGCAGTCAAGGGAGCACTCCAACCCAAACCCAAACCCAGCGGCAGTGGGAGCCACGCCAAATCTAGGAGGATCGTCGCAGACAGTCTGCTGGCAAGCCATTCAAGGGCTCTTCACGGCAAGGAGAACCGTGTTCCTGAAGAACCGGAAGAGCAGTGCAGGAAATTAACGGTACCTGTATGGCCACGGTTATGAAGAGGAAGCCGCCTGTGAGCGTGAGGTATGGCCCGTGTCTCATCACCAGGTAGAAACCTTTATGGAAAGGGATGGGCTTCTCCGTGCCCAGTGCGTACGGATCTGTGGGGAGACAGGAGGCCGAAGATGCTCTTTCATTCCCAGATTCTCACATGCAAAACATTACAAGTAGCCCCTGCACAATCAGTGGCAGTGCTTACCAACACTCAAACTACACATTTGTGTGGGCGCCCCCTGTTGGTCAGAAGCACTCACTACACTAAATATTAAATAAACACATTCCTTATTTAGTAAATGCTACAGCAGCGTGTTCTAATACTAACCAGCTAACTAGCTATGCTGTTCTGACTCTACTCCTTAGCTATTTATTTAGTTTTTGAAATGCCTGAGGGGGGGCAGGGGCCCCAACACAAGCTGAGCTCCAGAAACAACAAAGCAGCCCCAGGTGCCAGCCAAGCTGCAGCCAATAACAACGCAGATTCCACGTTAATATAAACATTGTTTCAAAAATCTGCCGATTTGCTTCAGGTTTTGTTCCACGAGTCTCTGGCTTGGTTTTAATATCCGGAGTTCTGAAAACCGACAGAATGAAAACTCCATGCTCAGCGTAAGGTTTCAACTTGCCTTCCACGCAAGTATTAACAGCTACATTAACAGAAAACAAAGGTGGTATTTATTCACATTTTATTCAAATTTGGCAGTTTCCACAGATCCCATCTTGCCCTCCGTGGAAGATACAGACACACACATGTATACCGGAGAGCAATCTGGGGCCTGAGTGCAGACTCAACCAGCGGTTTTTGGAGGTGATACGATTAGTTTGCTGGGCAAGGGAATTGAAGCCAAGACCTTCTGAACATGGGCACGTATCCCAAACCCCCTGAACCCCTCCCCTCCCAATATACTGGAATAAGACTGTGAAATTCAAGAGAAAATCTCACCTTCTTTCTCTTTAACTCCGAGTAACATCACCACGGTGCACAGGAGAAAGAGTGCAGCTATCACGCCGGCGGCGATCATGTACAGCTCCTTCTGCTTGGGGGGGGGGAAGCACAGAACATGGTGCTCAGCCTAGCAAGTCATCGGCAGGTCTCCTCGTCAGTCTCCCTACATTCATTTAATACTAAGTTAAGAAAAATCTAGCTCCAGATATACAGGCAGGGTTACAGGAACCCCGATACCCCCCAATAATTCATTTGAATTTTTATTTTTTTTTATCATTTGAAATTTGATATTTCATTTCATTCACCCCCCC